AAGCCAGTATGGTGAAAACCTGTTTGGACTGCTTTCATTTATTATGGCGTGTGCCGAGGAGATAGCTGGCGGCGATGTTATTACTGAATAACAACTGCACTAGAATGCAAGGAAAGTCTGCTTTCCATCCTGCCGCTAACCAAACACAAAATAAATGCATATTCTATCTTTAAAGATGTTTATTGACTAATGTTATTAACTGAAGGGAAAAATACGATGTTAAATATATTTTAAAGTAAGAAATTCTTTAGTTTTTGGGTTGTGCAAGTCATTTTTTGGTTACATAAATTTTATATGTAAAGTTGGGGTACTGACATTACACGAGTGTATATGGTAATAGGAAAGATGATGAGGGCTAGATATTAGAAGTTTATGCACACAGAACTAAAACGTTTATGCATAATTTTTTACGAGAGCAATTCTGCCTAATTTTCGCGAATATTGATCCATACTTTATAGTGTTCTGGTAAGAGTGAGTTATCACAAAGTCTGATGTGAATGCCTCATGACTTTCCTGTACAGCGTATTATACCAGTTTTTTACTCCTTCATATAAATTTGTTTCTTCAAATTATTCTGTGTTAAAATTATACTTTATTAACCGGTAGCTCAAGGCAAGTTGAAAATGTTATAAAAAATTCCAGATTATTAAATTAAATACCATGGTCCATTTTTGTCACACATGAGCAGACTTATATTTTTGTTTCTTCATAATGATTATTCTTAAGTAAAACTTTCCGCAATACAGAAGTCGGGAGTATTTGTCGATTATTATTATTTTAATTTGACATTGCCCAAACATGAATATTTCCGTCATTTAAAAAAAAATTGTAATTGGAAGTATATGACTATGACAAACGACTGGGAAAAGAGAGGCCGGGTACGGGGTATAAATACGAATTCCCTATCCTAACTATCTCCCTCTCTAAAAAAATTATCTCCAAGAAAGAAAAAAAAAAAATAATCTTAAATAAAGTAAAATTTTATTGAAAATTTGCTAAATTTATGATTAAATGAAAACATGTAAAAAATGGAAAAATCAAATTAAATCGTAAAAGGCGAAAAATTCAGTTATTTTCATTTAATGGAAACAGATTGATTCAAAGGGAACAAACCTATTTCTGCTCAAATAACAAATTAATTAATTTAAGCGATTATATTTATTCTATGCAGTTTCAGCGCAAGTTTTAGCCTTTTCTGACACTTCATTCTTATAATTCTTATATTATATGTATTGAAAGCACATTATATTTGAAGCATTGATGTAGCAACACTGAAACATAGAAACGCAGAAATACTGATGTCGTAGATACTTGACGCTTAGAGCGTCCAATTCATTTTGAAGAAGAAGCAGTCGAGCCGGATTAAATTCCATATTTATTTAAATTCTCATTTGTGCTCACAATTCACTTGGCATTCTAATCGTGCCTATTAAAAAACATTTACAATTGTGATACTAAGGCGATAGAAGCGATCATAGCAGCACATAGATGATTGCAGTGAAGCATTTTAACGGGATGAAAGCTTAAACGAAAAAGAGTGAGAGTGTCACAGTACTTTAGAGGAAGAAGGTTGGTGTTGGTGTATTTAATTATGGCAAAGCACACGAGGGCTATCTGCCTAAGGGGAGGGATGCCTTTGTGGAGGACTTTCTAAGGGAAACTGGCTCGTATACACATTACACATGGGAAAAACCACAAAAATGGCCTTGCAGCCAGCCCGTTTGTGGATTCGAACCTCGAACCGAACTACCAGTGTTCAGCGACCACTCGGCCGCTGGTAGGCCCTCAGAGGAAGAAGGAAGAGAGAAGGTGTCGCAGAAGTAATGTAGGGGGAAAAGTTAAAAAGTTTCAGATTGAGTTAGTTTTGGTTTACAATTATTTTGATTGGGTAAGAGTATCTGCATTAAGCGTTACGCAAGATTAATTTGAATGACGCAGTTTAGATTTATGATGCTATTTTTAAGACAGCAGAGGCAAAATAGCAATCATGCACACATAGCGCTGTGCATGAAGATAAACCTAGAAGACTCACGTAGCTACATATTTCAGTCATCGACCTACCATTGCTATGTGGAAGGCGTACCCAGACGCTCAGGGCCCTCTTCTCAGCTATGAACCTGTTTATGTCCACGTTCAGTTTATATCTTGCAGTTTACAAACTCCGAAGAACTTTTACAGTTCCAATATTTATGACCAGTAAGCATAATTCCTGAGTGCACATCAGTATCGCAGACAAAGAAAAAGCTTCTACAATGGACCAGTGGGCTTCTAGTGCTGTTATGACAATGAATATTTGGAAGTGTTCATATGTAAATGTTTAACTCTGAAGTTTTATTTCATGTACAGTTTAGTTTTGTAAGTTTATTTAATTGTAAACTGTTCAACCATTCCGAATTGTATTATTCATTGTTTATATTCGAAAACTGTTTGCGGAATGCTATCATTATTTACATCGAGAAAACGACCAAAGATGAACTTAGCCCAGAGCATTAGTTATCCACTAACATTTGCAAATTAAAAGAATTTAAGTATGCAGTTTTTTATCGAAATGCAAATAACTGGAAATATAACAATGACTCAAGAATTCTCTCTTCTTAATGTGTGCACTGTTCTGGTTTTAAAAAATGAAAATTCAAAATATATGTTCTGACTGCTCTGATTGTACTTAATAGGTAATTGTATTTATTACCTATAGGTACAACTATATACCTATATGCAATATGATTGTACCTACAGGTATAATATTAGGTATAACATTAAAAGTATTATATGAATAGACTTGTTGTGAAGAAGATAAATTCATGCTGTTTGAAGAGTAATTCTTGTGCAGGTGATAGAGATACATTAAAGCAAACAGTTATTAATAACATCATCATCTTTATAATAAAAAAGGTGTGTAAAAAGAAAGTAGATGGGTATAAGTTAAGAAAGTTCTTCTTGAACAAAACTGTATGTCGGCTGTTATTTTAGAATATGTTTTTCATATAGCCTTTAACAACAGATGCTGAGACTTTCCCTTACAGCATTTATAATTAGTGTTAATATTCTTTCACATGCATATTTGTAAGTAAAGTTAGTGTTAAGTTTCTATCTAAGCGTTTAGGCTATGTACTGTATTTGTAACTTCGTTTGTACCAGTACAGCTGAATCTTAGAAAAAAGTATGACAGTCCATTCATCCTTTCTAAGAAGCCCCTTCCTCAAGTGAAATGTTCGCTGATTTGGGCACCTGCGTGTTATTGCAATCCCAGTATATCAACGTTTGAGAGATTTTCAAACTTGTATGAGATTCTAAAGTAAAACAAATGGTCAGCTACAAAGTTAAGTACGAAAAGTTATAGGCAATTATATATATAAATGAAAGATGTAGGTGTCATTGCGGGTATAACATATACAGTGAGCTGACAGAGAGGTAAAGCGTAGCTACCCACTGCCACCTGCAAGGCTCGGATACTGCGAACAAGTCACAAAACAGAAGAATTGCATGTGGTTAGTAAATATAATAAGAATGGGCAGAAGTGTGAGTGATGCATATCTATGCATCACGCAAGAAGGAATGCTACAAAATTTTGGAATGTGAGATATCCTCATCTGGTGTTTGCTCAGTCTATGCTTCTCTGAATCAACATTAAAAATGTAAATTAACCATCTATCTTTAGATGTTGCTTTCTTGTCAAAAAACTTATGTTCTTGAGTTCTTTATGGCAGCTGTTCCATGAAAATTTTGATTGATGAGAAAATAATTTGTTTTTTTTTTTCTTATTGTACTATACAAGTAATTTTTTAGAAGCTTCTAAATTACTTGATTAGGAAGTTGTTTGATTACTGATATTGGTTCATAGTTAACGATCCCTTTAAATAATGAAATTTTTGTATGTTAGAAAGTGTTTGTTTCCATGAACCCATTTAATACACAAATCTTTAAATGATAGCATCATTATATTTACCAATTAAATGGTTCCATATTTAAGTGGGTTAACGTATTATTGATGTTATTATCATCTTTTATAGGTATTTGAACACAAGGAAAAATGGAGGTAATTGATTCCGCAGAAAAGTTACCAACAACATCATGGACTTCATTTCAGCTTCAAAATCTTCAATCCTTTATAATGTTTTAGGTAACTGAGAGTCTGCACCATTAAATTAAGGGTAAATAGTGTCTAGTTCTTGAATGCAATGATTAGTTTGTTTTTGCTAATAGTTGTCTTTTATAACATTGTACATTTGAGTCAGTACTATTGCAGTTGCTTCATCCATAACGAATAACATCAATAGTTAACAATAACAAAGATTAACTTCATAATAAAAGAAATAAAGAAATTAGATGAAATTGAGAGAACATAAAAATAAATCTGACTTCAGTTGGCAAATTCAAAACATCTTTACACATGTACTAGCTACATTTGCATGTAAAAGTGCAAGTAAAACAAGCAGAATAAAATGCTGTTTTAAAATGAAAGAACAAAATGAATGAATGATTGCCTTGCCAATTATCAATGAAAAAATAAATTAATAACACTTTCTAGCATGAGAATGAACAAAGTTATTTTTCTCATATGATAAATTATAGAGAAAGACCAGCATAGTGTTACAATTCATTTTTTAAGAATAAATCTCTTAATTATCCTAAGTTCTAAATTACTGTGTTGTCAACCTTAGTAATTTTAACTAGAATTTTATCTTTTTAAGTGGTCGCACAAAATACTCACTAATATGTACATTTTCGTGAAAATATGTATGAAATTAGAAACTGCAATGCAGTGCCTTTTTTATGCAGAAATAGTATGCAGTTTTTAGAACTATATTTTCTCAAGTTCTCTTCAATATATTATATACATATATATAATCCCACTTCCTTTTTTTTATGAAAGTTTTACAGAACTTCTTAATTTTCAAGAGTATCATATGACTGTTAGTAATCCATCAGAAATAAGTGCCAGTGTTTCCTAACTTAAGCTATAGGCAATCATTAGTCTAAGAAGAGCATTTAAAACTAATCTATATTAATAAAAATTTATTTTCCTCATATATTTACATACCATAAGAAAATAATACTATTCACTTATTCAAATAAGTATTTAAAAATTTACAAAATATTTTACAAGTCTAAACATTGATGTTAAATTTGTCCGCTGTACTTGTACTGCTTATAATTCTTCACTAAATTCTTGAAAATTTCTCTGCAGCTATGATTTATATTAACTGATAACATCTTGAGAGCATCCTCATTGCAAATATCAAGTAGTCTGTTTATACCTGATACAAGAAAGCTCTAAAATAAGGAGAAAAATATCATAAGAAAATGGTTGACACAAGAAAAGCAAACAGTGTTCATATTTTAATATAATAGTAGCCTCATATCCATATAGATCAGAACACATAACCATGGATAGTAACAAATGTTATGAAATAGGCATTTATGTAAGATATATAAATACAGTTAAATATAACTGATAAACTATACATTAAAAGACATTAAAAACACTAATTACTGTACACTATATTACATTATGTACTATATTACAAAATATGCTGTACATACATTATCTCTCTCTCTTTCATATATGTAAAAGTAAAGGATTCAGACATTCTAACCTAAATTGAAAACTGTGAGGATGAAATGAAATTTCCTTATTGCAGACTATAATGTACTAAAACAGATAACAGAAATAAAACACATTCATTTTCTTAACACTAATAGCATACTGCTAGTTAGCAAACTTTATTAGTATATTTACTCTTATGATTTGAGAAATACAAACATTTTAGCAAAAAAGCTGAGATAACATGTCACTAATGAGAATAGGAAGAAAGCTAAAAGCAGCCTAATGTATGACTACAGGTTTAAATGATTATGGCAAAGCATTTGAGAATTACTTACATGTGGAGGGATGCCTTCAAGAAGGGCTTTCTAAGAGCAACTGATTCTTGTTACATATGCATAAAACCACAAAAAATACACACATGTATTTGGGTCAAAATACCTCTGCTTAGTTTTGCTATCCATTTAACTACTCATGGATTCAGAAGCAAATTTAACTTTCTAAAATGAGCAGAAAGGTGTGTGCTTATTTGGGAAGGCAAACAGAATGTCTGTGTGTAGTACAGTCAAAAGTCGTAATTCGGACGCCCATAATCCGGAATGATCTATAATCCAGACCTCAAAGCTACAAACTTTCTGTGCATGCGTCAACGCATAATGTGTTTATGCATACGCATGATACGTTTACGCATGTGCATAATACCTTTACACATGCGCATAAATGTGCACGTATGCGCTTTTAATGTATAACGGATGGTATAAGCTAAGCTAAAATTATCTATTTCAGTTAATGTTGCAGATTGTGTTGTTCCTTAATCTTCGAATTGGATCCGGCTTATTATTTTTTGCAGACAGTTAGAGCAATTTTATAAAAGTAAGCTTGAACTTTCAATTATGTCAAATAGAATTTCCGATGCTGGAGCTACCAAAGGATCTACAAAGCGAAAGCATGTTTCAATGTCTATCAAACGAAAAGTGGAATTGCTGAAAAAAATGGATAAAGGCATATCCTTTGTTTCTCTAACCATTCTGAAATCTGTTTATCAATTTCATGCTGCTCTGCGGGGGAGTTGAACGTCGTGGCGCGCAATGAACTGGAAGTTGATCTGTCAGCTCTATCCTTATCTTCAGGGCAGATGTTTTTATTTTATTTGGCTTATAATTCATTAATAAATGTAGTATTTCATCTTGATGTACTCTGATATGATTTAAATCAAATTCATTATAAATATCACGAATACACATCAAATAGTTTTCTGGTTGCAATTTTCTAATTTCGACTATGCGTAATGTATGCTTTACGCATGCATGCGTTGAAAGAAATGGTTAATAAAGTAAACAAATAAATATTAAGCTTTTTTTTTTTTTTTTTTTTTTTGTAAATTTTGATACCCTTTAGATCATAATTGTTCTTTATTTCATAAATTATGGTTTCATATTTTTAATTTTATAATTTCTGCATGCCATCTTACCAGATTTAAACTGATGATCTATAATCTGGAAAATTCGATAATCTGGAATCGCCGAAGTCCCAACGAGTCCGGATTAAAGACTTTTGACTGTATTTCATTATGTTACAAATCTTTGTCACTTGCAGAACACGCTAAAATATAAGCCTTTATTGTTTTTTTTCGGGGGGGGGGGGGGGTTCTGCAGCTGTCTACTGTGGATATGGGTCACATCTAAAAAACCCTTTTCTGTCAAGTATAAAATATTAATCTTTAAACAGGTTTTAAAATTTTTAAAGCTAAAAATACATAATATTTCAGCAAATGTAATAAAATTTATTAAAGTAAATTTCTTATTCCAAGAAATAGCATAAAATAATTCTTTTGGTTCATTATCTTGGTGATAATGTCATCTGAGTGTTATGTTTTCTTCTGCCCATGATAACATTGAGTTTTCTAAGATATCTACATATATTTTTTTTGTCACCATACTGTCTATACAAAATAAAATGGGCCCATGCCATATAATAAAAAACAATCCTACAGTACGATTGCCAACTGTACCTTTAATGGTTTTCCGTACATTATTTTGGATTACATTCTTCACTTTCAGGTCAGCAAACAAACTGCTTCCCATTCATTTGAAACAAATTAATTTTTGTTATTGTTTCAATTTTTTTTTAAGGTTTTTTTGGAGAAGCATTCTTTTCTCTTATGAAGTTATCTCAGAAGTTTTAGCCCTATGTTAATGTTTTATGTATGTACTACCGTAAAAATTTCTTTGCAAAACGTCTAAATGATGTGGTTATTTTTCTCGTCCATAGCCCATCACTCTGCATCATTAAAATAGTTTGTGATTTCTCATTCTTTGAAAGTATTTCTTCTTAGAATTTTTCTCCTTCCCATCCAATGCATTTTTAGGATAATTTAGAGAAAAATATTATAATGTACCCAATAATTTGTTAAGATACTTATAAATAAATTATATCCCTATGGACCATCATAGGCATTTTAAAGGAAAAAATATATAATTTAAATTAGAAACTGCACGATAAGCAAAAAATTTTCATTTACTATGTACACTCGATTATCTGGGCTAATGCCAGGAAAGCAGGTCACAGGTAACTGAAAAACACAGATAATTCAAACTATTGATTTTTATGCATATGATCTGTGTTCATTTCTTTAGAAAAATCAGCAATTTTATTTTGTTTTTGAGAATGTTTAAATATTTGTCAAATTTCCCTGTATATTTTTTGAAGTGCTATTTTCTCATTGTATTCAAATGTTCTTTGGTTGATGAAAACAAAAATAACTTAGAGAGAAGTCAGTACTGTCTTGGGATTAATGTGAATTATCAATATCTTCTTCATTTGTATTTTCAGGATCACTTTCTGCCTTGTCTTTTGTTACGACAATTGAAATGCTTAGTACTTGCAGAATGTTCTTAGTTAATTTTTAATTCTAAAATTTTAAATCAATTTTTAAGAGAATAAAAATGAAATATGCATGAATATACATCAGAAACAAAAAAGTTGCCTTTGCTCATGCAGAATGAATTGTACAAGGTAATCATGTAAACTAAACCTAAAGACGCAGTTAAGTAGTTTTTACAGCAATCTTGGACTTGTGCATGTTTGCTTTTTATACTCTTGTGAGGTGCATGAACATTACACATAGATCATCTGCAAAGCAGATAATCAAGAGCATATATAATTGGATCGTACAGAAATGATTGACACAATGGCTCTCACAATGAAATTATTATACTTTGCAAAGGGAAAACAAGTGAAATAGACAGAAGGGGGCGTGAGCTACTCAGAATGCATAGATAGAGCTGGCTGCAAGCAAACAGTATAAGTCAGCGGTCCTTTTTGCCATTGTCACTGACAGCATGGACAGCAATGATGGAAGGTGATTATCATGGTCAGCATTGGACAGGGTGGTTCTTATGGAAGGAAGGGATACAAGGTGATGAGATCCATCATCACATGGTGTTGGTGTGCAGGAATAAAGCACCCTCAAGGTGTACCATATCCCATTAATTGGCCAAGTTCAGCAGTGGAGGAGAGACTGCAGGCAAAGGTGTCAGCGTGGGACAACCAGCAACATCACATACAGCAGCAAATGTGGCAGCTGTGTCGGATTTGATCATGGCAAACAGGCACATAACGTTCAACAAGATGCAGGAAGAGACAAGGCTTGTGCAAGGAATATTGCAGGAGAATGTGCATGGTGATTTGGAGATGACAAATGTGTCTGCAAAGTCAGTGGACCTCGGACTATGCCTTGCTTGGCAAGATGAAGGATGAAGTCAGGGGTCAACATGTTAAATCTTCTGCCGAATTGCATGCAATTGTCCATAGGTGGTCCATCAACACCCCCACAGACTGGTTTACCAAAGCCCTTCGTGACCTCCCAGCCAGCTGGCAGAAGTGTATTGACATGGGCAGGGATTTCTAACTGATGTACTAACAGTTTTTTGTTAATAAATTGTATTCCGCTCTGTGGCAGCATTTGTGTCACTCATTTCTGTATGATCTAAATATAGTAAAATAGCTTTGTGGTAAAGAGTAATACTTACAAAGAAGATAAACAAAGCATCAGTAAAAACAGATTTTTGGTGATTAGCACACAACAGTTACAGAAAAGTGGTTATCTTAATTCAGTTACTGACTTAAATTCAATTATTCCATTTCAGTATTTAAGTTAAACTGTGATTTTAGCTAAAATGCACAAAAGTCCCAAATAATAGAAGCTCCAAAAACTTCTTGCATACCTGAATCACAATATAAACAGAAAATTATGCTAATGCAATACTTTATTCTAATAAAATATTGCATTAGCATAATTTTCTGTTTATATTGTGATTTTACTAAACCTGATAAAAAACTGAACCTGATAAAATACTGAATGTATAAAAGAGAATTCATGGGAAAAGTAAAATACATGAAATACTTGAAAAGCTGAGAAAGAACACTCTAATCATAATGTAGTTTTCTTAAAAAAAGAAATATTTTTTTTTGCACTGTGACCATGTGGTCAAGAAGATTAAAAGCCAAAATATGGAAGCAGTTTTATCTCATTCTGATAATAATATTTAAAATATTTATCTTTCTTTTTCTCTTGGTAAAGAAGCTCTTGGTCTTATTACTACTAATTTATCATTTCATTTAGATTTGATAGATGCTGTTAAAACTTATTATTAATTTACTCACTTGCCATTTGCTTTATTAATTTATTCAATTTCTTATGTTATTTTTACCAATTTATAAATAATTTAAATTATTATTATTATTCGTATATTTTTTACATTTAATTTAATCAAACATTATTTTATTTATTTACTTTTATTCACCCCACTTGATTGTCTTCTATAGGACTTCAGAACTTCTACTGTTAGAAATTAGTGCCTGATTACATAAGGCAAGGCCTGATTATATAAGATATGACTTCAAATCATATAAAAAAGCCAAAATGTAAATTAGAACTAAATGTGAATAAAAAATGTGACATGCTTTTGTATGGTAAATGTCAACGAATAAGAAAAAAGTTGCAAAACTCTATAGCATATGAGCAAGTTCCTAGTTATCCTGATTATTTTTCTTTTGCTGTCATGTCAGTGTGATTCTGCCAAAGCAAATATTATTTTATACTAGCTAAATAAAGCTCTTTTATTTTGTAACTGGAAGTTTTCTGCCTATCTGTGCTGGTTTTTGAATTATTTTCTTTAAGTTCCATATTTCACTATTACAGAGCTGCAAGCATGTTCAATCATCATTTTCAGGACAATGTTTAGGTGAGTGTAAACTGGGATTGGTTTGTTTACTCAATGTGGCTGGGAAGTATTCTGTCATCTGCCATTCTTCATATTTATGCATTTGTCACTTTGAATTTATTCTTAACACAAAGAGAAAATTCTGAGACATTCTTCCACTCCATTTGAACCATCAACAGAACAATTATTGCTATAGGTATACTACAATTTCTACATAACTGATAATGGGTTGTACACATAATCATCGGACTGTATGATTTTTTATGACAAATTCTCTCTGCATATATGCTCATATTTTATGTTTCAAATTTATTTATTTACACTGTACATGTGGATTACATTATTGCTGAATAGGAAGTTTTAATTACTAAAATACAGTTTATCTTCTAAGTAGTGCAAACTTATATTTCTACAGACAAGTATTGATTGATGGTCCTTTATTGTTTGCACAATGAGAGTGCACTGTATTAATGCACATATGCATATACAGTTTTTTAAATATATCATTTTTTACACTAATTCACTCAGTCGGTTACTTGCAAGCAATATAATATTATGATTTTAATATTAAATTTCTTCCATGAGAATGATAACCACTTTCAGAATTCACAATGTTGCAATGGCATTACATGACATGACATGAAGAAAGGAAAATCATAACTATTTCTAATACATTTATATATAGAAAAAGAAGAAATACTGATATCTGAAAACAAAATTATTAGTAAACTTACTTTAATAACAGAGTCTAATGTTACATGCTGAATGGAATCAACATAATCGGCAATGATATATGGTACTAATTTACAGAACTCAGTCTTGTGCCTAGCTATCACAGTCAGCAACCTACAACATTTTTTAAAGTTATTAATACAACAGTATATCCTCTAAGACACTAATAAATAAGGTTAATATTACTGAAACTATATATATTTTTGATAGCATAGTCATAATGAATTACATACCTATCCATGTTCTGTGAACATAAATGGATATCCTGTTGAATATCTTTGCTACAAGTACGTATGTTATCTTGATCTCCTATTAATACAAGTGACTTCAACAGATATGAGGAAAGTTAAAGAATAATAAACTAAATAATTGTACACATACAAATCAAAATGGCAGCAAAACAACATGGAAATATGCAGCTCAGTTTGGGGAAGGAAAAATGTTTCCACAACATAAATTAAACACATAATCCTTTACATATATGTATATATATGTAATAATCATACTTTTTGGCAGAAGATGAAAACAATTCACTTTTGTCATGGCCGGAAAACTGCTGCATAGACGACTGGACATTACGGCGTAGTGGATGAGCGCATGGAATTTGTAGAAGCATAACCAGCTTGATAGTAAAACATCATTTATTCTTGAATGATGAATTTCTTAACACATAACTGTAGAAGACTTAGAGTGCTGAACGTGCCCCATAATTTTAGATATGTAATTGATTACATTTTACATAATGACGAATAGCTAGCAGAGGCTGAGCAACAGGCTGTCAGCACGCAGGCGAAGAGGTGAAAAAGGAAATTTACATTGCTAATTTAATCTTTTACATATTCTTAAGATTTAAAAAAAAAAAAAAAAATTATTATTTAAAATGCTTTTTAATTACTCATTTTCAATTTGGGTACTTTATCTTTAATAATAGCTTTCTCTAAACTGCATCATATCTGAAAACATATTCCACATTATATCATCTTGAAATTTCTGCATTGCCTTTAAGTTTCAGCCAATCAGATTAACAAAGTATTTTACTATAAATATCATAACAATACTACTCCATCCCTCTTTCTCTGCCTCAGCTTGCTGGCTGAAGGACGTCTCTTGCTTTGCTGCTTTTGTTTAAAATGTAATGTGCTATCATCAAAATTGTGGAATGCAGACTGGCCCCCATTGTGAAGTGCCACAAGTAATAAAGGTATATTTGGAATATCAAGTGATTTTTGTGATTCTTCAAAAGTTCCTGACTGCCAAACTAAATTTTATCATCATATATGCATATATATATATAATTAAATTATAACCACACATACAATTTTTGAATTTTGAACTAAGATCCCAATTTTCTTTTATTATGAAAGAAAATGAAAATTAAATACAAATGTAGGTGATGTAGGAGAATAATATTCAATATCATTTGGCTGAGAGTAACATTTAAAAGACAATTTCAAAATACAAATTAATTAAAAATAATTAAAAATGAAAGAACATAAACTGTTGAATTATCATTCTCAGGTTTTTTCCAACATCTTCAGGACGTAGTAAAATCAGATAACGATACTACAGCCATATCTGGCCCACTAGATATGTTTTTGTTGATCCTAAATTAACAGAGGTAACTAAATTTTTTATTTAAATTAAAATTAAAAACAATATTCAAAATGAAACGTAAATCTTAATTAATATGCGTGAGCAAATATTTTACTTCAAATAAATCTTCACTTTTAAGTGATACTCCCTATTTTTAAAATTAATTTTAAAATTACATGAGATATGAAGAATTTATCTGTTCACATTTTTTTCGACCATTCAAACTTTGCATTTCCTAGCTTGCTTGTTTACATTAGTGTTGAACAGGAGCAGAGACTTGAAAACAGAACTTCCACAGACTTTTTTACTGTTAGAAAAGGAAGACACAGTAAAAAAAGAGGAACTAAACTGAATAATCCGAATTTTCCTACATTATCACTTTTTGAAGTACTCTTAATACTGAATTAATAAATGAGTTACATTGATGAAGTGTATTGTAGAGTAAGCATAAGAATTCAATTTAGTGAAATTTTATCGTTGGAAGCTTTGTAAATAATGTATTTATTTATTTATTCTCTTGTTTAAAAATGTAAAAATTACTTTTGAAGTAATTTTGTCCATATATGTTATAATGTTCTTTGATATCCTTTTCAAAAGAGAGCCTGCTAAATATATTTCTACATTTTGTCTCTCCACTGTTTTTTTTTATTTGTACTGACATATTATTTTATGTTATCATATTTTAAAATATATATAATAGTTTTGTATTAAATAAATCATAATTAAAAGATTCTTAAGGTATGAGTATGTTTTAGTCATTTATATGCAAAATAATCCAGATTTAATGCAAAAATTAGACACGAAAAAATTCACACAAAATTCAAAAAGATCTGGTAAGATCTTTCTGAATAAATTCTTTCTTAATCTGCACAAATTTTGGTCCAGTGTTGTGCAGATTACCAGAACTCTGTGTATATATTATACATCAGATTACGTATATACTATATTACATAGTCAGAATAAAAATTCATAAGAATTATATTTAAATTAAAGGCATTTATAAGCTAGCTGTGAAGCCCAGAAAAAGTTAATAATAACTATTACACTTGAATTACAAACAAAATGCTGTGTATTACTTATTTAAAAGTATACATAATTTTTTATTCTTCCTTGAAATAAATTAATCAATCTGTTCAAAATTTTAAAACAAATAAATCAATTGTATCACATGTTGTTTTAGTTTTCCTTTCCAAAGGTAAAAAATAACTAGCAGTACAGCACATTTTGATCTTTGAGACAATGCCATTCAATGAGAAATCTTCCTAGTGTCTTTGCAAAAGTTCCATAATGAAAACAAAAACTAAATTTTGATTACATTTACTCAACTAACTGTAAAAATACTTTTGCTAGTGTACATAATTATTTGCTTTAACTTTGTGATACACAGGTTTTATATCCTATTTAACTTCAAGAATTTTTAAAAATGAGCTGAACATCAATTAAACAGTCTCTGTTTTTTAGCACTAAACAGAGTACATAAAAAGTACTAAAACATTGTACAGAAGAGTTATTTGAAGCAAGTTGGTGAGCATTTAATGACTATATTTTGCTTACTATAATGTACTCAAACACATGTTTTAGTTAAAATAATTTCATAACTACCATATGTTAACATAATTCAGGGATTATTAAAAATGACTTACTATTTATCAACAGACAACCATATAAATTGACACATGTTGCATATATGAGCATGCAGACCAAAACTTTTAAAACTATGGCAGAAAATATCAACTGTAAATGTGGTTTTTTTTTAATAATTAAAAACTATTAAATGAAAAATAAAAAGGATATTAGTAACAAATGAGAGATAATCTGCTGTTATTGTCAGAACTACTTCCGGGTAATATACGAGTAAATTGTACACTATATCCCATACATAATTAAAGCACCTGGTGAAAGTAATAAGCTCTCTTCCTTGCTTGTTAAGCTCAATACACGCACAGGAATGAAGAAATTGAATTGCACACTGTCTGGGAAGGCGAATCTGAATAGGGGAGAAAAACACATATTTTATTCTAACCTCATACACTTTATACACTTATCAGATAAACATTTCCACCGATATAGAGTATTTAAACATTTAGGCACATATCTGAGAATATTAATCACAATTATAGTGTTAAACATATGTTAAACATAGCACAGTTGAAAGTTTCAATAATTTTCCACATTGAATTTTTTAGACTGAATATTTTAAATAGTTCCTCATAAAAATATTACATTCATAATACAAATAATTATACAAAATATAAATATTACATTATATTACATTCACGACAAAGTACTTGAGCATCATTTGCTTTTCAAAAAATGTTCTTGTGCAGCACTTTTTACAAGAAACTGGCATGAATTTCTTTTACCATTTAAAACCATGTTACAGCCTAGAATAAACATTACATCTGAACAATCTGTACATACATTTACCTAGAATAAATTGATTGTTTTATGATTTTACCTAGTTGAGCAGTAGCAAATCAGCTGACAATTTGATGCAGTGCATTTAAATAGTAGTATAATAATCACAAGAAATATAAAATATGACTTGATTTAATTTTGAAATACATACAATTAAGTACAACAGTTCTGCCTTGTTATGTCACTGTGTGCATTTCATGATGCTTTGATCTAAGTTTATTCCATAAAGTCCTTATGTTAAGAGAAAAAAATAAATAAATAAACAAATACTTTAAAATATAGAAGTACACTGTGTGTGTGTATGGAAAGACAGTTCTATATCTCTCGTTCTATTGGGCCGATTGGCGAAATTCAACTTACCTTTTTCATGTCTCAAAAGCGTGACTTAGGACGTATATTAGATTTATATATAATGTTGTTCTAACATAGGTATTTTGACATAAAATTGGACTTTTTCTGAAATGACATACTAATTTCTTTCCATATTTCGATTTTACGATTCAAATTATGCCAAAGTGCCAAGTTTTGTAGAAATTGCACCAGTAGTTTTTAAAAAATTAGCTCTCAAAATTTTAGCATCTCCATATTAATCGAATTTCGTATATACTTATTAATATATCTTTTTTCATTAAATTTATTTGATTCTTCCTTTCACATTTCGAAATTTTGGTTCCTTCCAAACAAAATTCACGCCTTTTTTATGATTTAGTTTTACAATTTGCATTTTTAAATAATTTTTATAAATTTCTCAAAAAACATTTTGCATTATAACCTATAACATTTTTACCATCATCTTAAAGTAAATGTATTTCTAAGCATACCTGCAAAAAATTAGAGTTTTTTATTTAAAATTTTCTAAGATACAAGTGAATTTACATATTAGCACATTTTTAAATTTGGCATATTTGTTATAAGAGATAATAATGCCAAATGTGGTTTACGCACTTTGTTCAAATTATTTGAAAGTATGAACAATGACCTTTTTTTCCTGCTCCTATAGTGAAAAAAGGAAAGGAAAATAGGATGCTATAAATTAAGAAGTTAGACAAGAGAATTATTCTTGGTTCAAACTGGGAAAAAATGCAACAAGATAAATTTTTGAATTTCTCCATAAATTTTGCACCAAACTTTATACAATTTAATATTTAGGCATAATTTGAATATAAAATCGAAATATTGAAAAAAATTATCATGCCATTTCAGAAAAGGTCCAATTTTGTATCAAAGTACCTATATTAGAACAATACTATAAATAAATTTAATACGTATCTAAGTTGTGCTTTTGAGATATGAAAAATGGAATTTGAATTGTGTCAATCGGCCCAGTAGAATGGAAGATATAGGGCTGCCCCACTTTTTTTTTTTGTGCAGTGTACATATGAGCATAGTGCTAAAAACATAAAAATAATCAATATAGTACAGAAATTTAATTTCAGGTATATGAAGCAAAAATGTAATTTTTTGCTCCAAACACTTAACTAGCAGTGGTTGCTGTGAGAATTATACATGTCCTCCCATGGCTAAGTTCAAACTATTTTTTTTAAAATGAAAAATACATATGTATATGCAATGGTACTTTGGTATACATCATTGATCCAAATGAACTCTTCTAATAAAAAATAAAGGAAAATAATTAATCTGTTCTAATAAAAAAATCTACGAATGCAGTACATGAAATACATACAGAATATAAATGATGCACTGCATATAATATTATAAATCAGGTATGGCCAAACTTTGTCAGTAAGAGCCATATTCAGGAAAGTTTGAGAGCCACAACTAAATTTTCTAAAAGCCACAAGTCCATATTTAAAAAAAATCCATAATAAAATAATCTACGAATGCAGTACATGAAATACATACTGAATATAAATGATGCACTGCATATGATATTATAAATCAGGTATGGCCAAACTTTGTCAGTAAGAGCCATATTCAGGAAAGTTTGAGAGCCACAACTAAATTTTCTAAAAGCCACAAGTCCATATTTACTTCATTTTAAAAATAGGTTTCAGATGGAAAGAAATCTCTGATAACTTCATAAAAAGAACTGAAATAAATTACTTTCTTTTGGGCACTGAGTAGATTTAGTTTACCATACTTCATACACATATTTTATTTGCATAAGAGCCTAACCACTCACTTACGAGAGCATCAGGTGGCTCATGAGCCATGCTACATCCACCCCTGCTACGCAAAATCAATTTCTATTATCCAGATCAAAAGCAATTTTTCAATATGCTACAACATCTCTGATCTTTGTTTGGTAATCAATTTCACCCTCTTCATAACATTAGTTGGTTTAACAGCGTCTTTAATTTTCCCAACCATGAATAAACACCATTGTACTCAGCATATGGTGCACAATAGCCACCCAAATATGCATGCCACCTTCATACTTTTTAACATTCCTTAATGGTGATGGATTTCAGCCCCCCCCCCCCCTCAATGGTGACGCTAACAATTTTCTTCATTGCTTAACTGTTCTCATTAACTTTCCTAAAACTTACATTTAAATTTATAAAATGTTATATGAAAAAAGCATAGAATCAGGTGAAAATTCAGAATTGCACTGTGAGTTATTTGCTGAATATCAGCAAAGGTGTACTGATGGTCATGGACAGTGATAGCATTCCATTGAAAAAAGGTGAACAAGTATAGTGCATGCAGTCATGATGCATCGAACTCAAGTAATATTCTGAAACAATTGTTGCATACTGAACAGAAATTTTCACATCCAAACTGAATGTATGCCAAGCTGGACTTATTTCAAAGCAGACATATATGGAAGTAGCACTGTAATCTGAAAGGGCAAGTATAAAATATCTCAGATTTATAATGAACAATTCTACAGACTTGTCCTAAAATTAAGCTATTATGCAACAAATGCATCACATACAAGTCACTTTCAACTCTTTCTGGATGGGGTTTCTTTATTGGGAACTTAGTAGTAAATATGACAAAAATTCAAATGGGATTGTTTATAAATATTTTTCAAAAATTTATTTCAAGTGTTCATGAATCATAAACATCATCTTCTGAAATATACGGAGAAACGTAAACGGTATTTGATTTGACTTATTAGATTAGAAAAGCATACTAAAGCTGTGTGCCAAATAAAAAAAATGCTTTAACACGTTGAGCATCACATCAGCCATCTGTTGCTGATACTAGACTTTCCGTTTAGGCCCCGTGAACCATCTGTGGCTGACACTATACTTCCCGTTCAGGCAGCGTCGACCGCCGCTGGCTGACAGGGTGTAACATGATACATAACTAAAATTTACACTGTTTCATGGAATTACAGAAAATTTATTTAAAATTTACTTAATTTTGATTCATTACAGGACTAATGGATTTCATTGAAACACTGTAAATATAAAAACGGTTCTCCATTACAGCTATTACAAAATGTGACCACTCTCTTAGTACTTTTTATGGCCATTACTCTACCAGCTTCTGTTGCATTTTTATCATAACATAATTTACAATATTTCTATGCTTCAGAGGCGTTTCCCGGTTTTCTTTGGAGTTTATGCTGTCGTTTTTTAGATATTCTCGCATTTCTGTTCGATGGAATGTCTTCTTTTTCACAACTTGTAAGGGATAGCACTAATTCTTTCTGGAATTCAGTAATGCTAATTTTCTGCTTCATAATATCTTTTGTAAATCGGCCACTAATCCATTTCGATAAAATCTTATCCAGTTGGCCAAATGGTAAGGAAAACAAAACAGACTTGGCGCGTAATGTGTTGAATGAATGCCCATAGGAGTCATGTTCCAAGCATAAACTATCTTCTACTGTGATAAGAATCACTGACCTTACAATACCAGCGTGCGTGGCCTGAAGGGGATTGCCTAAGAAATATGTGCAGCGCTCAATGTGTTAATAGAGGACTAAGGAAAAACTGGTTTATATTCATACTGCACATGGGGAAAACCCACTAAAATATCCATGTGAGTCTGTTGAATAGAGCAGGAAAAAGAAAAACAATTTATAAAATGGATGGGATAAACATATCACATGATACTTAAAATATAATATACATATATAAAATCGTATAAAAAATAAATAGTTGAAAATTGACTCAAGTTTCAGATACACATACCTTTTCTTGCTTCAAAATGAAATGTAAAAATTCCAGAACAGGAAATTTAACAAGATGCAAGCACACTGTTGAATCACATGCCTCATTTACAATACAATGAAGGAAAGATGCACACTGTAATAGATTACAGAAAAAAGAAACACATTTTATTAAATTATCTTGTAGGATCAGTTAAAATATATATATATATATATAAACTGACTTGCCTTTTGCAATGAACTAGAAAAAGAAGAGAAGTGTTGAGAATAATCAACTTCAATTAGACTTTTTATAATTTCTAACTTCAGTTGTAAATAGAGAACATCTAAAAGTGCTATTTCGTAGTTATCCTAAAAAGACATTAAGACAAAATTGTATATAAATTAATAATCAAAAAGGAAAATAAACACAAACAAAACATATTAATCATTTAATTGATTATTCTAAATTTAAACTTTGCTACATGCTGTTTGGGTACTTTAATTTAATTTTGCAATTTTATACTGATGAAAAATTATATGAGGAAGAAAAACATTTATTTATCAAAATGCTTTAAAACAAGATACAAATAAAATTAATAATTATCATGAGTTTACTGAGCTGATAAATTTGGTAATGTACCATTTAAAGAGCAAAATTAAACATAAATACTTATCTTCCAACATTAACTGGATATTCATAAAATGCTTTATAAGTCTTTATAAAGGATTAAAAAAATAAGACTGAATAAAAATTAATCAGAAGAATTATGAGCGAAAAACAGTAGCGAAAAGTGGAAGTTCTCAAATTCCTCTTTGTTTCATGTCAGTTTATTTAGAAATGACAATATTTATTTTAAGAAATTGTCATTATTTCTTTTTTCAGAAGTTTCTTTATTCAACATTTAATCTAATAATGCATTTCAGAGAGAATTCAAATAAATGAAAAATGGGAGATTTACTAGGAAAAGAAAAGAAGAACTGGAAGTCTAACAGTTCTACAGGAAGAGTTAGCAGATTTGTTTACAAAAATATATCTGCTATCAGGAGACTGCATTGTCAAGAATATTCTGGAAACTAAGATTTTTGGAGACTAGTTTTATTCAAATTAACTACAATTTTGGTATAATGTTAGAAGAAAAAATGTGCGGGATTAAAAAAATATATTTTTGGAACATTTGTTACTTGACTGTAGAGACATTAAGTATTTTTTGAAAGCAGGAGTCATGAAAAAAGAGCAATGCCCTCGCCGAGAATCGAACCACAGACCTCCCGGATACACTTTGAGCATGCAGACCATCACACCACGAAGGCATGCCAATAAGCCGGGAGAAATACCTTAAATATTACTCCTTTTAAAGAGCGACTGGGGTTTTAGGGGACCAATCGCCAAATCCTGGTGGTAAAGAATCATCATTCACCAACTTTTTAGTTCAGGTGCATGTAGAGACATTAGGTTTTTTTGGAAGCAGGAGTCATGAAAAAAGAGCAATGCCCTGGCTGGGAATCGAACCACAGACCTCTCGGATATGCATCAAGCATGCAGACCACCACACCATGAAGGCACGCCAACAAGGTGGAAGAAATACCTTATATGACAGCTTTCACATTATCTAATATAAAAATAAGCTACCAAATATTTGTTCTTGGAACCTACAACTTTAAATAACCAGTTGATAATGCATTAAATGCCAGCTCATTTTATATGTCTTGGGCGGGATATACAAGTGTGAGAAGTGTTTCCTTCACATGTGCTAATCACTGGTAAACTAAGCAGTCCTATGAATACAGTACATTGAATGATATGCCTAAATATTGAAAATCACAGCTTTATAAATAAAACTGTAGTGTTATTAGATACTGTAGTGTTATTAATAAAACTGTAGTGTTAGCCAACTAAAATTATGTTACCCTGAACTAAATCATGTTGCATGAACTATAACAGAACTAAATCATGACCCACTGATATAGATTATCTAATTTACATAACCATCTTAAAAATGAATTTAGGCTGCATCATGATTAGATTAATAGTAACTCCCCCAATAGCCAGACACTTGAAAGCATTGATTGGAAATGAATTACTTATCAGCCATTTCATCGTCTCATCACTGATAATGCTGTCGAAGGTGTGCTGCAGAGGGTAGAATGGTATTATACCTGAAAGGGGGGGATAGACAACTACAAACGCATATGCCTTCTTTGGAATTCAAACTTAGATTCAATACTGTGGCAGCCAGCAGAACTAACAGCCATACTAAATAAGACAGCTCAGACAGCCACACTAAATACGAAAAACTACTATTCAAAGTCTATTACTGTTGCAGGAAAATACTTTGAATGAGGTATAGCAAAAAATCACACGACAGCTACAGGATTTAAAGAATATGAAAGTTGAAAGTTTAGTTTAAATTTGATTCATATTTAAATGGCTCTCCAAGAAAGGTAATAAAATCAATACTTTATCAATACTGATAGCGGCTATTCATAAAAAAATATTATAGCATTTATTAAAAAATATAACAGATGAAAACATGAACATATAAATAAATAATTACTTGTAATAATTATTAATATCAACTATAGTAGTAAATTTCTATTAATATAGACTGTTTAAAAAGTTGGACAACTAAATATCTTTTTATAACATATCATGCCCTCATTTAATCTTCCAGTGGATGCACATATATGAGAGATACAACAAAGTTGAATCTGGTTTTATATCTTTAGGCCAGAAAAAGCTTTGAACTTCTGTTCTTTGCTATTCTCCCCATTCTCTTTAATGCACTTTCAATTACTGTCTTAATTTTGAAGCATTAATATTTTTTTCTTTTGTTGTTGTAAGAAATTCTTAAACATTTATGACTCGATATATTTTTTGTGTGTAATTGCTTCCAATGATGAAATAGAGGGCTGGTATCTGTCATATACAGTTACTAATCACCATATCAACTTTTTTTCCTTTTCATTTTTTTTCAAATTATTAATTTTTAAGACAAATAAAAAAGAAATATGTTACATGAATGATCCTAATGACCCTGAGGCTGAAAGAAACTTGCTTTCATATGATATTGAAGACGATGAGGATTTTGTTTACACAACAGCATTACAGATGAAAAGGAATATGTGTGTGTATTGAGAATACGGCAAAGCACACTAGGGCTATCTGCCTAAGGGGAGGGATGCCTTCGTGGAGGACTTTCTAAGGGAAACTGGCTCGTATACACGTTACACATGGGGAAAACCACGAAAACGCCCATGCAGCCAGCCCGTTCGCGGGATTTGAACCTCGGACCGAACTACCAGTGTTCAGCGATTTTACCGCTCGGCCGCTGGTGGGCTGAAAAGGAATATGCTTCTCAAAGATGAGGTAATAGTTGGATGCATAAAGTGATGTAGAAGATATGACAGCTCTACTGATGCCTACACAGCTCATATAAAGGAAAACAACAACAACAAAAACGACTCGTAAGCTTCATAGATATGGCAATAAAATCCACCCAAGAAAGCTAAATGAATGCCTCACAATATAATTCAATTTCCTGCAGTCACTGAGCCAACTAAAATTCTCACAAGTATTTTAGATCTATGATAATGTCTCTTTATTCATCTGCATCTGTTATCTGATGATTAATTACTCTCATTCAAGAAATTTTCAGACCACAACACTAGGATTCAATAACTATGAACACTAATTTATTTTTTTTGGTAACAAAGTAACGTAGATGAATAATGAATATTTATTTTCATTTCATTTTGAAAATTCTTTGGTCATTTAATATTCTTTTACTCACTCTCGTTTCGTTTCCTGAAAAAAAGAATTAATTTTAGTGACATAAGTTGTCGAAAAAAGTGTGCTTATTAAAACTTAACCAATTACAGCATAAGTTTAATAATCACTCTGTTAAAAAATTTTAATTTTACAATAGCATATCTAGGAAATATATGGGATTGTTCACACTGGTATAGATGGCATGCTTGTTCGAAGGTTATGAAGTGTATCAAGATACACTTCTGAAATATAATAATTTCTGGTCATGAAGTCGTTTTTTAGTAAAACCAAGTAAAATTTAAATTTTTGCACAGAAAACATAATATTTGTATGCAAATTTTTTTTCTATATCCATACTAATCAAAAAAATTTTTATCGAGATGATGAAATTCAAAATTTTCTGGCGTATCATTAAAATTTTGAACTGTTTATTACAGCTGTACATGATAAATCTTTAGAAACAAAAATACAGACATATAGGTAATCAATCAAATTCCATTTTACTGAAAAGCAAAATTTTGAAACTTTTCATTAGTGAAATTTCAATTTTTATGAAAGCCTATTTTTTTAAAAGCAAAATGGACATTGACCTTTTTTCTACTAAGGTACAGATTTATGTAATCTTCCTAAAATGCTTTATGTAATTAGAAGAAAAATTAGTTTTCAAGTTGTAAGTGGCAATTGAAAAAGCAATAATATAACAAGATAATTACATTTTTTTCAGTTCTTTGAAAATGGCACTTAATTTGTATAAAAAGTGTTTAAACTAATTTCCTGTGGTGTATTTAAAAAGAGTACTTACCATTTCATTCATCATTTCTTGGAAAATAGCATTCAGCTCTTCCTGAGTGAGAATACTAGAAAGGGATTTTAGAACATTCTTTTCAGATTCATTCAAATGAAAGCGTATTAAATGACTTGTGGCAAGTAAATTTGGATTGGTTGAAGAATTATATACATATTTTGGACAAACATGTTTACAAAATCTATTATCTGAACTCTTTGGGGTGGTATAAGATTGTAAATTTTTTGTAGAAACACCTTGAAGTGAACTTTTTAAATTCGATTCTTTTATTAGTTCAACTTTTTCTTTAAAGTAGAGAAACATGGTTTTCCAAGCAAGCACTTTGAAATCTTCTGGAACATAACTATCCAGTTCTTTATTATGTGTACAGATCTTTGAAATAAATTGTAAGTACACATCTTTATATTCACTGACCTAAAAGACAAAGCAAAATACTGCATGAAGCAAATTACAGAAAATACAGTACTATAAATTTTAAATTCTATATTTTATATGTATATAGAACCATTTATTTATCTTACAGAATTCTAAAATTCTCATTAAAGACTGATTTTAACTTCATTAATCATTAATATATGGCACCAATTAGCTGATTATATATTGTTTTGCATGGAAATACCGAGCTTCCAGAGAAATTCTACAGTTTGCAGGTTGATGTAATATTGTCAAAAGCTATTTGCTAAAATTGAAATTAAGACCAAAAGCCACTGAATTGCTGGGTAGAATCCAACAGTATAAACTGTTAGATCTCTCTTTTCTTTGTAATGGACAAATCATTTTAACCTATTACTTGTCACTGTCTCATTATCAGCCAGTGGTTTTCTCAATGGAAATAAATTTCTGCTCAGAAGTGTCCAAACTTTTAACCTCACTGGGCCACATTAAAAGAAGAGAAGATATTTTGGATCATATAAATTATATAAGTGGCAGCTCGTGGTCTCTAAAATAAGCGAATAACACAATTGCATAGGTTTCATTGAAAATCTTTGGGTTTGCTCAAGTCCGACTGCTGAAAGAAATATTTTTATTTCACTCACTTGATTCATATACAAGCTGCCACTGCCTAACACTAATGACAGAGGATACCCGCAAAAAAAAAAAAGAAAGAAAGAAAAAAAGAAAGAAATATATTTAAGTAATTTAAACCTTATTAATTTATGATTTTTTTTAATAAAATGAAAGCAATGTAGAATTATTAAAACTGTATGTGGCATTTTTTATGTAGAATTTCATTATAAACTTTATTTATAATTTTAAAGATAACAAGAAATCATAAAAGTAATGTGATATTTCACATTGAATTTGAGAAAGTAATGTATTAGTGTCTTGTTTGGTTCTCAGGAAGTTTTCAAGATGTTCATCCAATGTCTGGATTCTAATTTTTACACTTGGTGTGCTTTACTCTTGAAAACATTTGTTCACAAATGTATGTGCTGCCAAATAATGATTACATTATGGCGATGGTTTAATGCCATTATACTCCAGATTCATCAGAAGGTCTTCAAGAGGGCCACAACTTCAACAAACAATTCAAAACCAAATTTATTTAACATTTAAAAGGTAAAAAATGCATCTTGCGAGTGATTACAAATAGGTGAGAAGTGAGTCACTTGGCAAAAAAATTCAAGTTTTTGTCTTTCCACTATGACGAGTGTTCATGCAGAATGTACAGCAAAAATGGATGTTGTTACTAGCTACAATGGCAATGTTCGGCTATAACATGAATAATGCATGACTGTGCAGTGAGGCATATTTGTCTCTTGGTAAGACTGATTTATAAAAGCCCTACAAAGAGACGGGATTAAACTTTCCCTTAAGTTGAATGTCAGATTGCAATTCTATGCATTCTATTTGAAAATTTGCTAGCAGCATAACAATATCAAATGTAAATAGAGTTGCAAAAAATACATATGATAAAAAAAAGTTAAATGATAATATTTAGTTTACCCTTTTTCTTTTACAGCCCATAAATATTCTAACAAAAACTGTCTGTATAAAAAGACTATGTTTAGTCCATGAAAAATAAAAATATGGGCATAACCTTAAAAACACACATAATTTACTCAATTAAGACTTATCAAGAAAATATCAAGATGAAATTTTGATTCATTTCTAATGTTAATTACAGACTATGATAATAGAAATTTGTATCTGCAGTTCTGCTATTTTTAAATTGGTATGAATTTTGTATGTAAGTTGTTTAAGTTGCTTCATTTTATGTGATAATACTTTCTCTTTAATTCTATAAAAAGACATAATTTCTTGTTCAGTTACAAAGTTAAGCTGTTCAAGTCCCGTTAATTGCTGTGCCGAGAATACCGACTAACTTGTCAAACGAAATTTTTTCGTTTTCACTAACCTCTCTGTCACATTCTTCATGCCTTTATCCATTTTTTGAAGCAATTCCACTTTTTGTTTGTTGGACATCGAAACATACTTTCGTTTTGTAGATCCTTTGGAAGTTCCAGCATCGGAAATTCTATTTGACATAATCGAAAGTTCAAGTTTACTTTTATAAAATTGCTCTTACAGTCCGCAAAAAATAATAAGCGGGATCCAATTCGAAGATTAAGGAACAACGCAATCATTAAGATTAACTGAAATAGATAATTAGATAATTTTAGCTTACACCGTCCGTTATACATTAAACGCGCAGGCGAAAATGTAATCTGCACTTGTGCACATGCATATGCGCAGTAGTCAAGGTCTTACGCTCACGCGTAAAACGCCTGTGCGCATGTGCCAACGCGGCGCATGCGCAGAAAGTTTTTAGCTTTGAGGTCCGGATTATAGATCATTCCAGATTATGGGTGTCCGAATTAACGACTTTTGACTGTATTCTGAAATAATACAAATGGGATTAAAAAAATGAGAGTACAAAAAGACAGTGCTAATCACTACATAGTATAAAACAAAGTCTCTTACTCTGTCCCTATAACCCTATGTATGCTTAAATCTTTAAAACTATGCAACGGATTTTGATGCGGTTTTTTTTAATAGATAGAGTGATTGAAGAGGAAGGTTTATATGTATAATAACATCCATTAAATAGTGGAGAAATACTGTTATTTTTTAGGTTTCTAATGTGATGTCGTAAATAATTGCATTTTTTCTGCTTGCACTGCATACGCAGGCTGAACCCTACGAGATTTATCAAAATAATGTACTAAGTATTGTACACATTGAAAAGGTCTACAGATTTAAAAATTGAAAGACATAGCGTTTGCGGCGGTACCGGCCGGCCGGGGCGGCAGGAGCGAGCCTATAAATAGAGCGTCGGAGGCCACAGTTCTCCCTATAGCACTTTGAATTTAGCAGCGATCGGACGCATTTATTATCAGAGCTCTCTAGCGAGGAAAATAACAATATACTTAAAAAAAAACGTGCTTTTCAGCATGACAACATATCAGTTACGCAATCACTGTACTACGCATTCACTAATGACAAGAAAGCTGTGAACGTTGTATATAAAGACATTCTGTAATATATTAATTGTTGTAAAAAGTAAATAAGTAAAAATGTAGTGTATGAATTTAGATATTCCAAAGATAGCAGGAAATCTTCATATTATAGGGAAAGGGGAACTGTTTTACTCCAAATTTAACGCGTGCGAGCCACGGGCAGTAATGAATAAATCAAAACTACTGGATCGATTTTAATCATTTTTTCAGTGAGTGATATAGGCTATAGTATAGCCTATGTCACACACCTTCCATGAGAGGCAAAAAAGAAGGATTCGTTGCTTTGTTAAAAAAGGAAAACTTAAACTTGAAAAAATTGATATCATTTCACTGCATTTTGCATCAGCAAAATATTTGCGCAAAATCTACCATTTGCAAGACCTCTGGATAGAAACCATTGCCATTGTCAACTATATTCGCGTAAATAGAATGCATCATCGTGAATTTCGGCAGATGCTCTCATTTAGATGAGGAAACGTATAGTGTTGACCTGCCGTACTACTGCAAGGTTTGCTGGCTATCAACAGGTTCAGGTTTTTGATAAAAGTTTTGTCTTTACGACGACAAATTTTAAACTTTTATAAAGAACAAGGAAAACAATGTGATCTATCAGATGAAAGTATTTCTCAGAAACCTTGCATTTTTGTCTGATATGATGAACAAAACAAAACAATTTAAATATCTTGTCCTGCAAGGTGAAACGAAGGTATATTTATGAAATGTGGCAAAAGATCCAAGCGTTTAGAAAAAAATTATCATTTTTCAAAACATTGCTTTGTCGATCGGAAATATCTGCACAACACTTCCCGGAGCTAGCTAAAATGTTAAATGAGCAGAACTGTGAAAATAAAATATTCGATGAATATGTAGGTGTCTTGGATTGTTTGATAGAAGAGTATACTAATAAATTTTCTGTTTTGACGAGCACACTCCTGCTATGAAACTGGCATTTGAACCACATTTAATAGATATATCCGAGGCTCCTGCAGAACTACAAATGGAGTTAATTGATTTAGGGGAAGATGGTATCATTAAATCCCTTTTTAACGCTAAAAAGGATCCCATAGAAATCTGGAAAAATGCTGTTGAATATCCATGCCTTCGATCCCATGCTCGCCGTTTACTTTCCTGCTTCAGAAGTACCTACTGTTGCGAGACAACATTTCTCTCATGTCAAAAATAAACAACAATTTAAGAACGCAAATTACAGATGCACATTTAGAGGATCAATTAAAGCTGTGTGTTACGAAGCTTGATCCAAATATACAATTCCTGTCAAACAAAAACAAAGCCAAATAAGTCACTAACTTAGTGAATAAAAAAATATTTTTTATTGTATTTTTATAATATTTTTATATTATTTTATATGTATATATATTTAAAATTTTGTAGTTATTATTTTATCTTTTCTATAAATGCAATAAATTGTTAAATCTATAGAAAACTATAATAATTTCACAAAAGTCACTTTCTTAGGTCAATCAGCTTATGCGGCCTCTCTTATTGCTGCCTAATTTAAATGTGGCCTCTAATGGTAAAAAGGTTCCCCACCTCTGGGCTATACATTTTATACCCGTGCGAAGCCGGAGCGGGTCGCTAGTTCTGAAATAAAGTAAACTATCAGTTTTAATATAATAATACTTATTAAATTAACTAACATACCTGGCCTTGTAATATCTCCAAAACATTTTTAAAAATATTAGGCAGAAGTTTCAAACATTCATGTTTCTTATTTTTATCAAAATGGCAGGATGCAGATGTCATAATTTCAAGTGTTTCCATGTAGGAATTAATTAGAAGACTGTACATCTGGTCATCTGGTAATTCAGAAGAATTGTATTTTAAACATTTAACAATATGTGAACAAGTTACAGATGCTATCGATTCAATTTTTCTTTTGTAATCATCTTGTAGATAAGCTCGCTGGATAATCTAATAAAAAGAAACAAGAAGTTTTATACATTTAAAAAACCTATTACTCACTCATTCATATAACTTTAATTTCTATGCATGAAATTTTATCATACCTTTGCCAGCTCCTGTTGTAGCACACAGATAACAAGAATGGTGACTTTATTTTCCAAATTAATTTCAAGCTGCAAATTATGAGGGAAAATGTTTAAACCAAAATATGCATAATATTGTTTGACACATATATAAATTATTCAATGCTTAATGATACATTGGTTATTAGTGCATTTTAAGCTTATAAACTTTACAGTAACTATGTACAATAACTATGCAATAACAGTATTAGCATTTGTTGTAGAACATAAAAAAATCAAAGAGATATTGAAATTTTGATTAAGATATACAAGGTCTAAACTAAGGAACTTTCAGGAAAGTTCTGGTAAGTAGCATTGCATGCCAGTCACCTACACAAAAGATTTTAGTTGTTGCATTTGTTGACTAGTTACTGTATTACACTACTTTGTTAAAGCATTTGCTGTGTTTATTCTACACTTTTCAAAATCGGTTAATTTCATATACACCATATTAAGATAAAATTTTATGTTAAACCTAAAGGGGTATTTACAGGAATCCATAAAATGATGAAAAAAATTTATCGTGATCACAGCTTTAGTTGTATGCAATGTTATGAATGGTTTATATAGTTCAACAAATAGTCACCAATTAATTTATGATCATCTAGCTTTAGGGTATCTACTGACCTCAACTGACAAAATTCATTTAGTTTATATTCCTGAAATAATATGTTTAAATTGGTGATTAACTGCAAGTAATGATTGATGATTATAACATTTTAATTGAATCATTTCGTTACATTTTAATAGAGAAATTGGAAATGTGTCAAAGTATTGCAAAATTCATCACACATCTACTGACTCCAGATCAGAAAAAAATCACATAGTAACTTGTCAGGAACTTTTGGATCATGAAAACAAGGACAAAAATTTCATGGGAAAGGAAAAAGAAGGCTGACTTTCTTTTTGACATGGTTCTATGTTAATGCCTTAAACAGATTAGTATATATATATATATATAATTGTTTCATAAGAATAAATTGAGTTTAATTTAAAAAATTAAATTTAAATACATATTTAATTAATATTCTTTCACAATTTTTTAACAGAACACACAATTTCAAATTACAAACAGTTTACATTTTTTTCACATACCAACTTCACTTTCATTTCCTTCAAGCAAACATACATCTCTTGATTGGCTCAGTTACTTAACTCCGTAGTAAATAATTGATATTACTACCTTTAGGATTTTTAATTTAATTTAATTTAATAATATAATATTTACAAAAAATTTTTACTACAACAAAGATAGCAGCTTGACACTCAACTTTACCTACATAATTTGAATATATAATTTGAAGAACACACTTACTTCTCTTTCACAACACTTTTTGCAGACCCCAACACTCACATAGTAGGTAAGTTAGAATTAAAACTTACTATTTACTTAAGTATTTTTTAAAAAAAAAAATTATGTAGTATCTAAGTATTTTCTAAATATGAAATTATATTTTTAAATATATATTTTTTTTAAAATTGTGAATTAGTTCTTTTTTTTATTTCTTATTGGTTTTATATGGATGTATAGTTCTTTTATAGTTTCTTTTTATTGATATGCATATTCGTGTAGGGGAAGTTTCTGTAGACAAGGATTTTCTAAAATACATTGGTTTCTAGATTTTTTTATTATTTTATAAAAAATTAATTTTTTAAGAAAAAGTTTAATTCTTGACTTTACTTGCTTGTTTCTCAAAAGACTTAATTAGTATTTTCCTTTTTGAACTTTAATTCTTAAATGTTAATACTTAAATGTTAAATTCTAAGGGTACCACTTTATTGGAATTACTTTTGGTTTTGACTTTTACCCTTGCCTGCATGAATGACGAAACACAAATTGGAATGATTGGAGAGTTAGGTTTGGAGGCAACTTCCCCTTGATAAGTCTGTCTCCTGCATACTTTACGATCATTCACATATGCATTTTTAAAAAAATTGTTTAATTTAATTTTAATTTATTAATTAGTAGATTTATTTTCATGGATAGGATTTTGCACTTGATTTGCTTATGCTTCTGAATTTTAAAATGATATGTAGATTAGTTCGAGAATTAAATCTTTTACATGTTTGCATATTTAAAATTATTTAAAATTATTTTGGCTTTTTTCTTTTTTTTTACTTTTTTACCTTTTTCCTTTTTTCCTTTTATACGTATTTGTTAAGAGTTTAAATTTGTTTAAATTTAAATATATATATATATAAATTGTAGTAAACTCGCCTAAAAGTTACCAAGAGCTGCTGCTCCAAAAGTTTAACACGTTTTCAAAAAATTAATTAGTACACATGAAAATCAAATCATTAGACATGTAAAACTGGAACAGAGAATTGAGACTATTAAAATTTCCAAGACACCTTGTCTAAATTTTTAAAAAAATTTTTAGCGAAAAAGTTTCAATTGTCTGTTTCGGCGAAACGTGTAATGGGGTTAGCTTGATTCGACGTTCAAATAAATGAAATTTCCCTTGAAAAGCCTGTTTGGAAGTCGAGTTGGGCTAATTTACCATTTTCCGCTTACTTTTTAACCTTTTCTGTTTTTTAATTTTTTTAATGTTTTACATGTCTAATGATTTGATTTTCATGTGTACTAATTAATTTTTTGAAAACGTGTTAAACCTTTTGGAGCAGCAGCTCTTGGTAACTTTTAGGCGAGCTTACTACAATTTTTATATTTTACTTATTTTGCAGCATATTGCGCAAGATGTTTTCTAGACCAAAAATTGTTTTTTTATAAATTGTTATTACTGCTTTGCTTGATATATATATATATATATATATATAAAATAAAATTTAAAAAAATGTAATTTCCTTTAATGCATTAAAATATACCAGATTACTAGAAATTTAAAACTTAACAATTATACAGTATTTGGATCCATTACAAACAAGTGTATCTTTGAAGCTTAACATCAAAATATTTCAGCTTTTTGAAGAGGAAACACGTGTCAGACTGCCTTGAAATGCATGGACCTTTTCTGTAAAACCTATACTAATTTCAGCTTAAATTTTAATAATTGGATTGTAAGGATTATGCTAATTTTCTTAACAGTTAAATTTTAAGTTCCTTTCCTGTCAAATTCTTAACTTCAACTTACTACTTCCGGCCAGAACGTAGTTTGGGAATCACTCTGAATACTTAATGAGGAGAAGCGGTATTTAAACCGCGAAGTCTACTAGCAGAATTAGAGAGAATCAGAGTTTCTGATTTCCACGCGTCTGCCTTTTGGCTACTCTCTCTCTCAAAGCTGTTATTACGTTCGGCCATACTCAGGCCCTTGATAAGCTTCGTAGTCAAATAGAGTTAAGGGGCCAACTCGATTAGAATCTTGATAGCTTCGGCTATATATCTTTAGTTAATCTTAAATTTAGTTTAATTTTTAGTCTCTTAAGTTCAAGCCCAAGTGTCGGCTTTTATTGTACACTCCAAGACAGAGTTTTTTAAATCTTATTGGAATAATAAAGGGTTAGTTACCATTCCATCTTGTTGTTTCTTGTTGCATGAACTTAAGTGATTATTCGCTAACTAGTTCTTAAGATTCGTCACTTTCTACAGTAACTGAGAAATACACTAGTGAGAATCTTACAGGATACTTTTAAGGTTTAAGATACTTATTTCATGTGTACAGAGTTAATACCACAGGACAGAAATAAGCATACAGAATGTCAGGACTGCCATATGGTGATATAAGTACTGTTCTGTAGTGCTAATTATCCAGTGAAGTAGCCTAAAGAAGCTCTGTGCAAACTTTCCAAAACATTTTCATGCAATTATTGTTTAGAAGAATTTGTTGTCCTAATATAAAGACTTTTTCATAACAGTTATTGCTGACAAATACTTTGCCCTTGTTCTGAGAAGTATTTTATAATACTGTTGATTTTGTGATGAAATTTTGGATTATTTATAATATACTTTCAAAACTTGGGTTTGTTTGCAATCAGTCTAATGCTGCGATGTGCTTGCATTAACGGCATGAATGTCAAGCTAGTGTTCTGGAGATACTCTTTCGCCACAAGCATAGCTGTATGATGAAGAAATATTTCTCTTAGAATAATAAGTGGGGAAGGGTCCATATCCAGCTATGTGTTCAGTCAAACAGGGGCTACTGAGATATTTTTTTTCTTTATGTTAATAATTTCATGTGCTCCCCTGCATTGGGGAACAGAGTTTCATTCGTTCAGCCAGATTTGATCTCAACCAAGTGAAACTTTAATATGAATATTACCTTAGAGGACATGAAAAACTTCTTGTGCAACTGGAGAAGGCTAGTTGAAGTTTACTATTGCATGTAGAGAAGACAGAGAATCTGAATGTATTGTAAGCTGACTGCATTTATTACTAAATGCAATTTTTATTGCCTTTTTAACTGCTAAAATTTTTGCTTGAAAAACTGTATTTTCTGGTTATAGGCATCTTTTCCAAGCTTTACGGAAAATATAGGCTGATCCCGTTTTTAGCCCAAATGAATGTTAGCCCGGAAGGGCTATTAGTCTGAAAATGGCATTTTGTGTTGAATCAGTACAAACAGCTGAATCACTTTTCAAATTGTTGCCACCAAATATTATCACCCTGTATTATATTTAAAGAAACTAAATAATGATGAATCTGCATTAATGCATATATGTTTCTTGCACTGTGAAAAAACAATGGTACCTAAAGTCATTAAATTTTGAATAACAGTCTTCCACCCGAAAATGGGTACCCGGAAGGCCAAATTTGGAACTTGTTTTATTGATTATTTCACAGTTTGTAAAACTGTAATGAATTTCTGATTAAAAAACTGAACAATTTTAAAGTGAGCATTGGCTACACTGTAGAGAATAAAAAATTTATATCTCCAGCACGTGAGACTGTCTACCAGAAATTTTCAAGATATGCTGTTTTTAAATATTTTTAGACCAAAGTGGCATTTAGACAAAGGCTCTCAAAACATGTGTGTGTCTGTAAATGGGGGGAAAAAAACCTTATAATGTACTCAAAGCAAATTCAGACAGCATTTGATTTACATCAGCTTTCTTCTTTATTTTTATTTTACCCATAATTTACTTCAGTGTTGATCGAATTCCATTCAATAGAATTATGAAGGCTTTCACCTAAAAATTACATTGCCAATTTTGTTATAATACTTTATATAAATATATCATCTTTTTTTTTATTATTATTATTTCAGGAACTTCTGTTATCAAACAAATAAATTTACCACAAAATTAATTTATTTATTATTCCACCCACCCCAAATGTAGCATTTACACTGAAGATAACGAAAAAGATAAAATGATACTGTTTCAGATCCTAAATACCAATAAACATAAAAAAATTTCATAATAGTCGAGATTAAAAAAAAATACCAGGCAGGTATGACAGGCCACATAGAGAAATCACCGAATCAGATTTCCTGTATACTAATATAACTAGGCAATTTCCCGTACTATGCAGAAATATGCTACACAACTGACTTATTTGTCCGTTACAAAGTAACAACTTAGAATATAACTATAACTAAATTATAACTAAATCAACATGCTCATACATTATAAACCAAAACGTTAGCCAAGAAAATAATAACAACAATTTTAATATAAATATATGAAGTACATATAACTCTATGTATTTTGTTGCACTTGCCATGCAGTTAAAATTGCTGAAGAGGCTGGAACATGCATATAACTACTCAACTAGTTCCAATATTAGTCCTTACCTTAGATAAACAGTCTTCAAGAGACATGAGAGATTCCACATTCCTCGCACTTAGATTTATAATATGACTGAAGAATTGTGTCATCCATGTCCAGTCTTTCACTTGCTTTTGCTAAAAAAATCATATTAAGTAAACAATAAAAATGTCATAAAAGAAAGTAAAAGTCATGATTTCTCTGAAGTTAAAACAGCATCTAATTCTGATAAACTGAAAATAGATAAAATGTATTATACATACTTTGCTCGCCAACTTTTCAAGTGTTTTTATCACTGCTTGCAAGTACAGACCATTATTTACAAAATCAAATAACCAAACACTTCGCACTCCATCAAATATAGCACTTAAGAATCCACATATTTCTTCAGCTTGTGGCATAGCTTCACAAATCTTGTGATTGTCTGGGAGCATGAACAACAGAAATGACAGCCCAATAATACATCTCATTTGATTAGCAGGAAATAAATACTCCAAAGGCAAACAGTTAATAAGCTATAAGAAAAGTCAAATTATAATTATATCATCATCATCAGTATTATTACTTGTAATTAATCCTCTAAGTGGCATAACTGCTGTTAAATGTCATGAGATTTTTTTGTCACTTGGTATACATTAGTTTATAATTTAAAATATATTTAGTTTTCATACTTTATCTAAATGATATAAATATCATCTTAATGCATGGAAGTTTATGAAAACAGAGGCTAAAATAAAAAAATGTATGCATATTTATCTAATATATTGTATTTAAATACATTTCTTCATGAGCAGATCCAATACATTATGCCACTCGGAGGGTTTCAAACATGCTAAATTTACAAAACCAAGAAAAAGAAATAAATTTTGCATAAATTAAATTTTCTTCTTTTAATCTTCTAGAAAAGAGAAAAAATCTCAAATGTTCCTTTTTCCCATAACACCCCACATATTTATCAAAAAAATTATCTGTAATCTTTTAATTATGTCACAAATCTGATAGGATTTATTTTTTAATTTAATGCTCTGTATTTAGAGGAAGTAAATTTTGTTAATTTTGATGAATTCCTGTCATTTGTTATTGTCATCTAGAACTTCTTATAGGTAATCCAAAATACCTCCTATTCTAAACTGCTGGCTATAGTAATTACAAACTATGAAGGACAAAAGGCAACAAAACCATATTTATATGATAAATATTATATCAGGATGAAATTATTAAAATTTAAAGTTGTTTGGATAAACATAATATGGAAAGATCAATACTGCATGTAGCCAGTATGAGCAACAGGGGACATAAAGTGGAATAGTTACACTGCATTAAAATTAAAGTTTGTGAATGATGCCAACTTGAAATACTGCAATCCATCAGGCTCCAATTATTTGCAAGAGTTCCTCTATTGTAACCACTGGTGATAACTGTAAATATCATCTTTGTCCAATCAAGGACCAGACATGTTCAATTTGTGAAAGATCAGTCGAGCACCCCAGAAATGTTTATGCTGCCCATGAGAAAGTGTCGCATATTATATGTAGCATGCAAACAATCACAGATTCTAACTCCACTGCAATGCAGCCTTGGTTAGTCAGATAAATTCTAAAAAACAATCACTCCTAGTGTTACCATACTCAGATTTAGCTACTATGGTGCTTAAAAAAAAGCAGAACCTATTTGAAAAGACAATGTCTTACCATTCATACGTTCATGTTCATCACGAAATGCACCACTGTAACTACAGAAGCCTGCACTATAGTACTATTAATAATAGGTGAAGCAAGGGCTAATTTCATGAAATGTCTTAGTGTGCCAGGTCATCATGATCTTACAAGTCACTCAATCCACCCCCCCACAAGTGCATTCAGCATAGTCACTTGAGAGCTGTCAGATTTTCACTAATGTGAGCAGCAATTTCACATTAAAATTATCTACAGTTTACTTTATAATATAGTTACTTTATAATTCTCACATAATCAAAATCAGAAAAGTGGTAGCTTGGATTGCATCTTCTGTAATATTTTCTTACTTAACAAATAATTACATTTATTGTCCTTAACATTGGTGTGGCAACACCATATTTTGTATTGTATAACCATTGCTGAGCAACGTCAGGAAACGTTTAAAAATATTATTCTGAATAGAGATTCAGTTTTGAGATGTATAAAAATTTATCAAGAAAGAAACACAATAGTGAGCTGGAGTGTGATGTTGTAACAGATAGAATTGATTTCAAACTATCTATCTCCATGAACTGAGAATAAAATCTATATTTTATTAGAAGCTCATCATTTTTTCCATTAAATGCTTCAAAAATGTTATACTTGTTATAAAAGGCATATTTAAACTTTCTATGTAAACAAACAATGAGCACACATTATTCTCCTCCAAAAAATCCTGCTATCTATTATCCTCTTTTACCCTGTTTCGAAATGACATTACTGGTGCTCATGTTGGGCGCATGCACTACATTGCTAATCATGTGCATATCTTACCATGCTGTACATACATCAGTATTCAAACGTTAAGCACAAATATAAAAATTACCATATTTGGCAAAAAAATGACATGCAGGTACAAAATTTGCATACATGTATACACACACACACACACACAAAAAACCAAAAAAAAAAAAAAAAAAAAAAAAAAAAAAAAAACTAGCAAGTAGGTTTTAACAAAAAGCCATGTTATACATAAAAACGGCCTGTTTTGTGCACTCTTTCTCAGCATTATAGACTCTAAAGAGAGACTAAAAGAGAAAAATTATGAACAACAGATGGCTACATACAGATCAGCTGTACTGTCTGTCTACGAGAAGAACATCTCCCGCCACAGTGTCTGTTGCTATTGCAACAGGACTAGTATATTTCAAATAGGGGAGAACCAAGGGTTGCTTTATTGTCATTTTGTTTTTAGTGACTGTTGGCTGAAGGGAAAAGAGTTTATCATTCATCTTCAAGACACCCCTACGGAAAATGGGTCATGGCTCGTTTCTACAGCAACAGACAGCTGAACTAACTGGCGAGAGCTTTTCTTATGATAGAAAGACTGTACATAAGATTATCAATGGTTTGCATTCCACTATCAACCTCATACAAAACTGCCTGTTTAAACAAAGCTCGAAATCACTTAACTGGAGTCCACAAATATGGAATATTATGCTTTTTACAGATAGATCTAGGTTTGTCAACAGATCGATTCCCGATGGTTACTGGTCTGGAGAATGTTTGGAATGCATCATCACACCAGTAACATCTGCAAAATGCATGCATACAGCGGTCACAATTTGAGAAAGTCTGCTATTGGCAACCTCATTAATCTCTATATCAGGAATTTTCAACTTTATTTGCCCCAAACCTTTTTAGTATTGCTAGAATATCATTTCTCCAAAACATAGATACATATTTTTATCTAGATTTAGATAATTTTTCAATGTGTTTTATAAATTAAACAATAAAAAGTGTACAAAATGTTGATAAATACCAAAACAACTTGAGAACAAAAGTAGCTTTTTATATTCATTAACTCAAACTACATACTTAACAGATAAATAAAAGGCTGACTGCATTCCCCCCCTCCCCCCCCCAGTTGAAAAGCCCTACATTACATTTTCATTCATGACACCTTGACTGGAGTAAACAAAGAGGTCACAATCTTACATAAAATATTCACTCACTTTTTGCAGCCAAGGATGCTGATTTTTTTTTTATAGATGATGATGTGCGAGCTCAGTTAGCTTGGATTATCAGTTAGTGCTTAGAAATGGAGACACTGTTTAATAAGCATACTTGCCAACCTATGACACTCAAAAATCAGGAAATTTTTCACAATGTTAAAAAGACTTTTTAAATGATGAAAATATAGTTTTTTTAATAAGAATTAACTTAAATAGTAACTAATCTTAAATGCAAGCAACACAAAATACCTTACACATAAAAAAACATTTTTATTATTTTGCATCGATTAAGAAAAAAAAAACCCACTTTAATTAGTTTTCGTACAAATGTTATAAACAGTGGCAGATTTTGCTTTCTTAAGAAAGAAAACTTCATAATTTGTTCGTAGTAATTGCCACGTAGGCTGCTTTCACTAATAAAAGCTTTTCTAATGTGTCATCACTAATATTAGATCTAAATTTTAGTCCTCGTTTTTGCACCAATACTGAAATTTTCTCACACTCTGCATTATTAGGGAACTGTCAAGATGGCCACATAATTCTAGACAGCTCCCTATATTTTAAAATTCCATCAGCAGAATTCTGCATTAGCAACTTTTTGGTCCCTGGTTTGAAGAAAAATTTTATTTTTTGTTTTTTTTTTTTTTTTTTTTTTTTTTTTTTTTTTTTTTTTTGTTGTGCACGCAATGTTGAGAACATCCGCCCTTCCACCATGCGAATCGAAAAAGCAACGACAGGCAGTAACATCCAAATTTATACATTTCCTGAGGAAATAATGGAAAGAAGTCAACTGTGTACGATTTTGAAAACCGAGTATTCACTTTCTGGCAGACAACAAGATGAAAATTTCTAAAACTATTTCCCTAAGGCACATATACTCAAACAACTCGGACAAATGACCCGAAATAACTTAAAGAACATCCAAATATCAGCTTGCTTTGTCCTCATTGGCTAATTAATATGCCAGATGACACGTAGTGGAGCACGATGTCCCCATTGGAACTGGAAACGACGTTTCTGGATACGTAATGCTCTGCTCTCACTTCAAAGCAGAAGTTATCTAATTTCGCAGGTTTTGTTTTAGATATAACCTAGAGAAATTCAATTGCTTTCAGACTGCCAAAATACTTTTTTTTTTTTTTTGTTTTTTGTTTAATAACAAAGTATTAAGCCAAGTTCCTAAAAATCGTGAGAAATTTTAAGAATAGAAAAAGTTGGAGAATAAATTTTAATCGGTTTGCGGGAGAGCGGTCGAAAATCAGGAGTCTCCCGCCTAAATCGGGAGAGTTGGCAACTCTGAATAAGGAATGACAACCAAGACCACCCGACTTGAAAGTAATCATATGGCATTCCTCGAAAACATTTTCTGTTTCTTTTCCTTTAGAATCTCTATAACCTAAGAATACATCTGTTGTATAAATGGACACAGATCAATTGAGATTTTATTCTTGACATGAATCAGTGTTGTCAAACATGTGTTTCCAGCAATAGTCATCTATTCTCTAGTGACAGATCAATGAACGTTTTTGCCACTCAAACTTTTATGCTTTTATTTACTTCTTTTACCTAAATATATATTGGTAATTTTCTTTGCATTTTCTCATGGCAGTGTCTTTTGTTACATTTTAGCATTTGTGAATGTTTCAAATAATTCATTTAAACATTTTTTTTCCCCACCCACGTTATTTATTGTTCATCTTTTGGATGTGCAAATAATGCAATCACTTTAGGTTTAAGACATGCTTCATTCATGGTCCAATTTTACTAGCAAGAAATTTATTTTGCACTGCCAGATTTTTTAGCAAGCTAACTGGATATATCACAGTTTAAAATTATTTCATATAATCAAATTCCAAAATTTCAGTTTTTACATAGATTTTTTAACCTGGAATGACGACAAACTTTTCATTTAAAGGCAATAAATACATTTTCTAACTTCATATCTTATAATGCTATTTGAATACATATACAATTTATGAATTCTGTGTACATATGTGGCTATTAAATTGGCAGATAAATATGGAATGCACAATTTTAATTAGACAAAAAAAGCAACCTTAATTTGGCATAGATTTTGAGGGCAATCAGGTCCCTCTTCTTCAGGACCAAAAATATTTTTGAACAATTATTTTTTCTTCTGAAAAAGATGGACCTGTGATTGACTGCCCTCAAAAGCAATACAGTTTTATTCAAAATCTATGCCAAATTATGATTGCTTTTTTCCCTAATTTAAAACATATTTTTATTGGTGTTGTTCATTTAAAAATGAACATGTACAAATTTTACATTTCACTTCCAGTAATTTCTCTCAGTTTAGTGTACTTGAACATAAACAGTAAGGAACATTAAATAAAATAATTCTCATTCATTTTCTGAGATTCCTTTATGGGTAATTTTTTAAGCCTTTGCAATTATTACTTATTAGTATTTATTTATACTAGAATTTTTTCTGTTAATAGAAAATGTATTTTATCTGGCATTTCATCATTTCTGGGTAATATAAAAATGATCATCACAAAAGCTGACAAGTGACCAAAAGGTGAAAGTACTTTATAATGATGGTTTTTATGCAGCTTTATTCACACAGACAGACTGATACATTACATATTTCCACAGCAGCACTAATACAGTTGAGACCTGTAACATCTATGGCATCCCATAATACATCTCATGAACTGTCTTCATAAAATTAAAAAAAAATCACGTATATCTCTGCACTATGCTTAAATATCAAAGACAAAAAATATTGCAAATAAACAAATCAATTTTAAAAAGGGGGCATTGTTTTCATAATACACTAAATTTTTTTTGATTGAAAAATATACCTTTTTTATGTTAAATGCAGTTAATTTTAATTTCACTGTAGGAAGTGGTTCCTGAGTCAACATGCTATTCAAACAGTCACAGATATTCTTCAAATTAATCCACAGGTTATTCATATCTTTATTCTGACATTTTGGTGTAGTTTTAGCATATTTCAGCCATTTGCAATCAAAAATACTCAAAAGATCAGCAACCTTTCTCGCAGCATTTCCTTCCGAATCAATTTCATGATGTTTTCTGGGGGAAAAAGATGAATATAAAAACATGAAGATTATACAGTATAAAGCTGATAATGATGGCAATATTAAAACTGTATACATATTACCTTTTAGTATCTATAACCATGTCTAACTTCCACAAAGTACCAACAAAAACAGTCTGAAAAGTTTTGGATTCTCTTAGAATTTCACTATTTAGTGATGTTAAAACAACAGACACTGGATTTGCTTCAAGTGGTAATTCACAGTCTTCAAATCTAAAAAAATTAAACTTAATAACTTTTAATATCTAAACTTCAATGAAAAGTCAATTTTCAAATCTATAAAACAAAATAATTATGCACTATAATTAATTCCTAAAGAAAACTGTAATTGAATAAAACAAACTAAAAAATTAGTCAAAACAATATAACATTAAAGAAGTTACCTTTTTTTAAAAAAAATCTGGTTTAAAACAGACAAAGACATGAGAATTCAAAGAAATAACTTGTTACTCTTTAAAAAAAAAAAAAAAAAAAAAGAAGTTACTTCAGATTCAAGCAACACTTAAGCACTTACGCAGTTTTAAGCCATTCATCAAAGGATCAGGACAATAGAATTATCGAAAAATCCTTTTTTAAATGTTGCATTATTAATGATTTAAATGGCATTGAAAAAAGATGTTGCCTCCTTCATTCTCCCTCCCACTGCCTGCTTTTTTCCGTGCCCCCCCCCTGTCCGCCCCTCCCTCCCGCCCCCTTCTTCCTGCCCCTTCCCGTCCGTTCCCCTTTACTTCACCTCCTTTTTAATCTATTGCTCCATCTCCTTCTCTTCCTTCTTTCCTCCCCCTTCCCCTTTTTTCTCAAAAAGCAACTGTTTTATCCTCAAATGAAACTTTTTTATAAATATCTGATCCATAGTTAGTATAGAAAAGAGGCACTTTCCTGCCACAAAAAAAAATGCTAAATTACTTTCAAAATAAAAAACAAAACTTCAACTTGTCTTTAATAAAACAAAAATATATAAAAAATATAGTGTACATTTGTTAAGAGACTTTATTTCCATATCTGTATAAGCAAAAATAGTTATGCTGAATTTTCTAAATCCTAAAGCCCACCCACCGGCCTAGCGGTAAAATCGCTGAACCTGGTAGTTCGATCACTACTGTCGACATAATCACCGCGAACAACGGGGCCCCCTGCGTGCTGGGTGGTTTTTCGTGGTATTTCCCCCATTGGTACGTTGTAAATACGAGCCAGTTTTTCCCTAGAAAGTCCTTCCCGAAGGCATCCCTCCTCTTAGGCAGATAGCCCTAGTGTGCTTTGCCATAATTAAATACACCACCACCACATCTAAACCTAAAATTTTGTGTTATTTACTTCCAAGAATGAATATGGACTACACACATTTTCAGATTACTATACTTCTACTGCACATGTTTATTCTTGAAAATGCATTTAATTGATTTTAAAAGGCATTAAGCCGCAAAAATTTAAAATAAACAGTTAAACTGTAATGACCCTTATATTATGAATGATGAAATAATGGTCAATTATGATTCAGATTGTTTAATGATTATGATTAAAGATATAACTGATTAATGATTATGATTATTAAAACATTATGATTAAAGAGAAATTCTGAGATTTATGATGAAAATGATTCACAGCTTAATTTTAAGGTTAGGTTAATTATTTGGATATTAGAACCATTTGCTATTTGCTTCAGAGCTATTTGCTTAAGGGAAGGGATGCCTTCATGGATGATTTCCTAAAGGAAACTAATATGAACCATCCTACATAGGGAAAACCATGAAAAAACTCATACAGCCAGCTCATTTCTCTTGAATAAAATTTCTAATATTTACCACTCACCACTGGTATGGCTGACTGAACTATAAATTAAACCAAAAAGTTAAACTGAGTTAGCTAAAAAAAGGGGGGCGGAAGAAGAAGATGATGATGCAAGAAAATAAAAGGAAAAGGAATTACCGACAACAGTCTTGCATAACGAGCTGCTGAATTTGAAAGCAAAATGTTTTCAGTTCTTTACAAGGTATGCTATTCAGAATTAGTGGAAGTGACTTCATAAACTTACTAATAATAGCACTGCCATAATTGTCAGTATTTAAAGAACAGATCTGGAAAAAAAGTATCTATAAGCATAAGCTACACACAGTTTCATAAAATAAGAAACACAATATATTAGACTTAACTAAGTTTCAGTAAACTTACATCAAAATCCCATGAACTGACATTATTTAAATTCTCATAAAGATGATGCATGTAGAAACAAATAGACTTCTTTAAATTGTCCCTTTCAACATCTGTCAAGGTACCCTTAAGAATCAAGCCTCTGATTTTTTGATCCAAAAGTTTAAACTGCAATTAAAAATTAAACATATACCAATTGGAAAAAACAGTTTTAATCCTTAATAATTATACACAATATACATAATATTAAAAATAAATAAATAAATAAATAAAGAGATTAAATACACCATCAAAAATTGTAGTTTTATGATTTTAAAGCAAACTTGTTTTAATTTTGTAATACACAGTTATAAAACATTTAATTAATACTTATATATTATGCTCCCTTCTTTTTATATATTCCTTAATATGTCAAAAATGCAAGCACAATTTTATTAAGCTCCTAAACAATTTAATGCAGAAATAATTTTTTGCACATAGCTTCATTCAATGAACAAACTTAAAAATTTTAGAAATTTATTGTTTGCACCATTGACCACAGTGAGAAAAAAATTCCTTAAACTGAAATTTGTATGAAATTTTTAGAGTAATTTCTGACTTTTCCAAAAAGCACTAAATTTTTCTTTTGACTATTTAGCATCTATAATTTTGGAATTTCAACATCTAAAAGTGCAGCTGTTACAAAGTTTTTCAAATTTTCCCATATTATAAAACAATAATGATAAAATATATTAAATCATCCAGAAAGTTCTGCCAATTTTCAAATTGAAGTGTATATTCTCCTAATTATTTTGTTCCTGCTGATAAGAAGTGAAAAGGATTGAAGCATCTGTGTAAATATGATCTGCTCGAATTGCATAATTGTAGCATATCATAATATTTTTTTCAGCACAAAAATGGGGAACCCAAAATGTCATTTTCATTATATGCTCTTTCATCTTAAAACAAGGAAAAATGTTAATCAGACTGCTTGTAAAAATTGTGCTCTACATGGACAAAGTGCTGTTTCTAACTAAACAGACAGACTAAATATTCAAAAAAGTACAGGAAGGACTAAAAAGAAATGCTATATTATGGATTGTTGCTACCAAATCAGACAAAAAATTCAGAAATGTACTGTTCCCAAATGGCAATTATTAAGGCAGAGATTGAAGCAAAGCACCCACAACTGTCCAATTATTAAGATGTTGTTTTCCATCAAGCTGGGCTCACATTTCAATGCATATCAAACAAAAAAATTAAAAAGAGAGCTGGGATATTTTGCATCATCATAATATTCACCAGATCTTGCCCCTTGGATTTTCTTGTCTTCAGGCTACTTTACAACTCTTTGAATGGCTGGAATTCATTTCATTGGATATAAAAAATTAGCACCTTGATAACAGCTATATGAAACAGGAAGTATTGGTTCTTTAATTTCAAAGTTATGATCTTATCATGTCATATTACTTTTCTTGTTCCCATATAGATTTCTATAATATTGATTTTCCTTACTTCTACCAATGTTGTAACGAAATTAAGCTTAAAACAGAAAGCTTCTGCTATTTTATAAATGCTAATCTCTCTCTATATATATAATGCAAGATAAATTAAAATAATTAAATTAATCGATTTAAAATCCATCCCATATTTTATTCAAAACAAACCATACACAATAATAAAAAAACAGAAACACAGTGAAAAATTGCATGAAAAGTGCAAAAAATGTTAAAATAAAAAATGAAAATCACTGTGCCTGTTATTCACTGCAGTTTATTGTTGTATGCGTGTCAGTTTATCGTCTACCACTCTTCATACATATGTGTCTGTGTGTAGTGCGATTTAATTTGAAAAGCAATTGCTGTGGCATTTAAAGTTGAAATTTACACAGATACAGAATGAATGATGACAAAAAGAGAAAAGTTATTGCACTGATGGAGATTGTTTTGGTTTGGTTTATTTAATTATAGCAAAGTACACTAGAGCTATCTGCCTAAGGGGAGGGATGCCTTCGTGGAGGACTTTCTAAAGGAAACTGGTTCATATACACATTACACATGGGGAAAACCACGAAAACGCCCATGCAGCCAGTCCATTCGCGGGATTCAAACCTTGGACCGAACTACCAGTGTTCAGCGATTTTACCGCTTGGCCGCTTGCACTGATAGAGAAAATTAATCAATAGACTGGACAAGGGAGAGACAATGCAGAAGGTAGCTGATGACTTTGGTGTTAGATGGGTAACAATGGAACTCTAGAACAGGAAACAAAAAGAAACAGAAAAATGATGCGCATCAAAAGTTGCACATTGAAAGAAAGAAAAACCATGAAAAAACAGAGAGAAACTAGATATGTTTACCTATTTTACTGAAAAAAGCATTATATTTTGGTAATAATTTCAACGAAAGGTGCTAGATTTCACAGCAAGTGCCAGTTGGTTCAAATGATGGAAGAAATCTTATGTTGTTATGAGTTTGTGGTAAAAGCTATCATTACATTTTGAAGAAATGGAAGAAAAATTTCAAGAATTAATTAATCTAAATTGAAATATTATATATATTTAACTGCAATGAGTCAGGTCTTAATTACAAAATGTTACCTAGTAAAAGTCTTCTGGCCTGACCTGAAGCGGTAGCTCTGGTGATAAGCGTAGAAAGGAAAATCTGACAATTTTAGCATGCAGTAATGCTACAGTAAATTTCAAAATGGACTTGTAATGATTGGTCCTGGTAATGATTGGACTGACTCGAACATGAATAATTTTGGAACAGTTTAGTGGCTGACAAACACTGTCTAAATGCTACATATAAAACTTGGTGAGGAAACAGGAAGTTTTGGATTAACACAGTGGGGGATACCCACAAATGTATATAACGTAAGACACCGACTCTTGGCTTCTCCCACAAAGTCTCTCTGAAATTTATTGCAGGAAAGTGAAATGTCACAAAACACATATCAAACAGCTGCAAACAAAGCCAACCTATATCCCTACTGGTTTACAGTTGCTCATGAACTTAATGAGACTGATTATGATAAACACATTGATGACACAATGAAATTGACAATGATTTCAATAAGTTATTACTAACAGGCCAGGGATATTCGAATACATATGGTTCAGTAATGAGGCATGATTTCATCTATCCAGCTGTGTAAACTCTTAAAACACACATTTGTGGGCTAGTGAAAACCAGTATCCATTGTTTGAGAAACTACTTCATTCACAAAAGATAGGCACATATTGTGCATTATCATAACGGTGGATAATAAGACCTATTCTTTCAAACTCCACAGTGACAAGTATGAAACTGTTTTATGAATTAGTGAACCAGTCAGATGATTGGGAAATGACATTCAGCTGGCAACATGCCACACTTCTTGAATAAGCATGGCGGAGGTGGAATGACAGGGTTGCCACTCACAAAAGTGAATGAAATTCCCTGACGTTTTTCAGGTTTTCTACGTACGTTTTAAGAAAATTCCAGGTTATCCAAGTAGTGCATGTTGGCTGTGCTAAGAGGCAAATTAATTATGGTAACTCTTGAAAACACAAAAATTTACCAATTACATATAGCTATATATAATTCCCTGCTATTAATAACTATAATAGCAATTATTTTCTTCATTGATGATTGAGATTAATGTTTATCAATGTCACCAAATCCTGTGTGTACCGCATACTAGGATTAAACCGATTTTGTTTTATACGAGAACGGGAAGGTATTTTCTTTTGTTCCACATGCATCGTTTATGTGAGTCTCTCAATTCTCCAGGGTATAAGAAACCAAAGTTGCTGGAAACTTGCAGTTTACCTTTCTAAAAGACAATCTGTTTGGAACTGTGAAAATTGGCTCTATGAATTTTCTGCCCGAACGATGCTCCCACGATGCATAATTCGCCAAGAAAGTGATTACTTCTAACATTAGCACAAAAATCGCTTTTTTTTTTGGGGTGGGGGGAATTGCTGTACGAAGAAATGCCCTGACTTTTACAGATTTTGTCTAAAATATATTTAAATTCCTTGACTTTTTACAGTTTTCAAGATAGTTTGGCAACCCTGGAATGAGTTTCCCTTACAGAGTCATTTCAAAACATTTTTGATCTCCAAAGTCACTGGATTTGAGCTCAGATGGGATAACCTTAAAGGAAAATATCTACACAGGCAAACCATGCATCCTCAATGAGTTACATCAGAGCATCCACTGTGAAATCCAGGCAGTTCTGGTAGACACACTTATGAACTTGCAATGCCATATTTAACTGTATTTATAAGTTGGGGAAAGTTATTTCCAATACCTCTTGTGATTTATTTTTATTTCTCATATGTACAGGTATGTCACGTTCAGATTTTGTTTTCTTTCTATAGTTCTTTTACACAATAATTTCTGGTGCTGTTTTCTAGAGGGGCACTTGATGTATAAACATATATGATGCATGCAATGAATATATTATACTATATTACATATACATGCAAGTGTTGTAAATGATATACATTATTATCTGAAAAGAAAACACTGAACAACATGATATTTTGTAGCATTCTTTGATATGTGATACACCACAAAAATATGGTTAGGTTTATTATTTGAAAAGAGATATAAGCATCCATACATTATAAATGCTACTAAAACAAGTTTTGGGCATTATAAAACAAAGTTACAGACCACAAACAGATACAGTGAAAAGTGAGGATAAGTTATAAGGAATATATTTAATGTCCGAGAAGCAAACATTCAACAACATGATATTTTTTAATGTTCTAAGCATCCATGCATGGTAAAAGCTATAAAAATCAGTTATAAACATTACAAGTATCACTGATGGGATATTAAATATTTACAGAAATTTATGACAATATTGGTTAGACTGACCATCTATTATAAAAAATTGTAGATGAATTTTGTAAAGAGAGTTATTTAGTTTCTTGTTGCCATTAATGTCTCAATTCTCCAGGGTATGAGATATGTATGATAAATGTGTTCTGTATGATAAATTATTTTTCTCCTTTTAATTCAATAATGGTTTTATGACTTTTAAATAAAATTATTATTTTTTCTTTCTTTTTTAAGCTGGCAACAAACTTCTCCCATCTTTACAAACAATCATGAGTCAATAACAAAATATAAATTAGCACAAAATGAAACCACTCACATTAAATTCAGTCTATTAAAGAACAGTAAAATATTATTAATATGAATCCTTAAAAATTGTTGTGAGAATAACGCTTCAAAAACTTACAATAAGGTAACTCAGACATTTATCCAATCCATTGAAATGTAATGGAAACACTTCAGAATGAACTTTGTTTAAAAAATTATGCAATAATGAAAAATCCATAACGTCATCTGGAAACTTTAATGTTAAAGATTTAGCTAAGGCATCTTCACTGCAAGCATAGTAAGCAAGTTTCACTTCTCCAAGAGCATAGCATACAAGCAAAAATGACCTTCTATACATATCAACCTAAAAAGAAAAACAATTAAAAAGATTAAAACTAGTATTTGGGCATAATACTATATGTACACAGATTAAAAACAAAATTAATAGTTCTAATGCTTAAAGTATAAATAGATTAAACAAGTCTTTTTTATCCAATAATTTTTATATATACAGTCAAAAGTCGTTAATTCAGACACCCATAATCCGGAATGATTTATAATCCGAACCTCAAAGCTACAAACTTTCTGCGCATGCGTGGCGCACAGGTGTTTACGAGAGCGCGTAAGACCTTTACGGCTGCGAATATGTGTGCATGCGCGTTTAATGTGTAACGGAGTTATACGCTAAGCTAAAATTATCTAATTCAGTTAATGTTGCAAATTGCATTGGTTCCTTAATCTTCGAATTGGATCCGGCTTATTATTTTTTGCAGACTGTTAGAGCAATTTCATAAAAGTAAGCTTGAACTTTCGATTATGTCAAATAGAATTTCCGATATATATTTACTAATATGTAATTTGTATCTACAAAGCGAAAGTATGTTTTGAAATCCGAAATCTGTTTATCAATTTCACGCCACGGATTGGAAGTTGATCTGTCAGCACTATCCTTATCTTCAGGGCAGATGTTTTTATTTTATTTGGCTTATAATTCCTTACTAAGTGTAGTATTTCATTTCGATGTACTCCGTCTTTGATATGATTTAAATCAAGTTCCTCCTCATTATAATTCGCTTCCAATAGTGCAGAAAGTGACCCACAGGTTATTGAAAACGAAAACAACACAGCAATTATAGGACTTGAACCGCGGGAACTTTGTAACTAAACAAGAAATTATGTCTGTTTAATAGAATTAAAGAGAAAGTATTATCACATGAAACGAAGCAACTTACATTGAAGGAAATGTTTAATAAAGTAAACAAATAAATATTAAGCTTTTTCTTTTTGTAAATTTTGATACCCTTATTTCAAATAAAAATGATAGGCATTTCAAATAAAGATCATAATTGTTCTTTATTTCATAAATTATGGTTTCATATTTTTAATTTTGTAATTTCTGCATGTCATCTTACCAGATTTAAACTGATGATCTATAATCCGGAATCGCCGAAGTCCCAACGAGTCCGGATTAACGACTTTTGGCTGTATAAGCAATAAGTATGTTGATAATAGAACAGACCACACAGAAAAAAAGGGAGGAAAGAAGATGAAAGGGAAAAAAAGTAAAAGGGAATACAAATGAAATTAAAGTTAAAAAATTTTTTTGTACAAAAGTACACAGATATTTAAAAAAAAAAAAAAAAAAAATACATAGGAAACAGTTTCACTCTTAATTCATTCATTTTTCAGTTGTATACTTTAACTTTTATATTTAGTTTAATTAAAACAAATCTAAAATATATATAATATTTGACTAGTATAGTACTTTAAAAAATTCTGAAAATTTCTACTTTTAATTGCAATCTAAACTGCTTACTAAGGTTGCTTTTATGAGATTTTCAGGAATATAACTGTAATGCCCATAGCCCCAGGAGAAGGAAAAGGCTGGACCGAAAAAATAATTAGTCTGACGTGACGATCACTGGCTAACACCAGGTGGTTTGTTGGACGGAAGTAATTAAAAAATATAAATAAATTAAAAAGGTGTAACGAGAAGACCAGTGAGACGAAAGGGACTTTGACCCTGGATGTCAGACAGGACAGTCAGATTTTTTTGTGTCTGAAGGGCCATCGCCTTTTTTTTTTTTTTTTTTTGCATAGATTGTTTTCTCATCCGCGGAGACAATGCCGGAATACCTATTCATGATTGTACCTATAATATGCATAATATAATATATTATATAATATAATATATAATAATCATATAATAAGGAATAACCAATAAACTTTAATAGGTAAAAATTCTTGATTATTATATATTATATAATATAATATATAATAATCAAGAATTGTTTACCTATTAAAGTTTATTGATAAACAAACAATAAAAAGGTATAAGCTATGTGTCGATCGACAGTTACATGTGTGAAGGAAATGAACCCCACGCTACAGATAATACGATTCTTTATTTCCATCGGCACGACTATGGCAGTCTACTATATATTTGGTGGCAGCATCGCGATGTTATTCAGTACATAGGTGAGTATTGATTTTTTTTTTTTAGTTCTTTATTTGATCAGATGCAGGGTATTATTATTATTATTATTATTTGCTTTTATTTAGATATTGCTAAAAGGTGCAAGATTGTAAAGCAAACTGCAGGAGAATATTTTATCTGAGGTTAAATTACTTTTCATTAAGTTTAAAATTATTCTGCATCAGGATACGAAAGTTTAGAGGTAACACAGGTCAATTGAAATTCTGGTTTTGGAGCTTCGAAAATGGTAGAAGCTCGGTAGAATTTAAGTGTTATATATTATATTTATGTAAATTTTTGTATGTGTTTTTGTTGTATGAATAATTTAGGGAACTGTCTATTTAGTGAAGAGTAACTTCCAGTGATGTTTTCCTTGCTGCAGGTACTATTTACTGTTTTATTACTGTTTCATATCAAATGTAAAGTTATTCTGAGGTAAAGTACTAAAATTTGTTAAAAGGATTGTTGTAACATTTAACTGACAGATGTCATTTTTTTTGTATCAACTCATAAAGTATGTAAAAGCTCAGATAATTGATTAGAGTGCATATGTGCTTGTGTATTTAAATTTTAGTAGGTAAAATAATTTTTTAGAATAACTGGTTTCATTTGTATATATATTTTACAAAAATAAGTGGCTGTATTTGTAGACTTATGTTATAGTAATTATCAGTGAAGTGTCCGGTTTTATTGCTTTGAATATTGCCTTAATATTTCATTATGGCATATTTAATGAAAGGGAAGAAGGCTGGTCTTGTACTTCTGGCCAATGAATTAGGTGAAGAGGTCTCTAATGATTTTAAAATGATCGAATTAAAAAATATCATTCTGAGAAGTAAAAACTATGAAGAAGATGTAGTTAAAAAAGTGTTAACTTCGATCATTTCCGCAAATAAAGAGAAAGAAAATATGGAGCTAGCCCAGGGGAGATTACGTATAGAAAGCGAATGGATAGCATTAGAAAGATTAAGACTCGAAGTGGGAAAATGGAGTCTAAATTCTGAAGGTCCGGTGGATTCAGCAATAAGCCCTAAAATTAAAGGTTTGGATGAAATTGTGAAAACTATAAAATTGCTGACGGTGAAATTCCGTGAAGGCCTGAAGGCAGGAACTATTTTTTCAACAGTTTAGAAAAGGTCCTCGCGAGTGAGAAGGTAGTGGATAATTTAAAATCTAAGGTGCTAATGTGTTTATTAGGAGACAAGGCTGCACATCTTTTAACTTATTTAGAGGAAGATCAGTACGAGGATTACGAGGCTTTGAAAACCATAGTGCTTCGGGAATATGAACCCTCACTTAAGGCTTGTCTGGAAAATTTTAAACAGGCTAAAAGGAACCCAGATGAAAATTTTACTCAATTTGCTACAAGATTAAATTCTATGTGGAGTTATTACTGCATATTGAGGTGAGCAACGGATCTGGAAACTGTCAATCAGTTAGTAGTTGCGGATAGATTAATGGAAACGCTCGATATGGAAACTGCTACTCATACTGGTATTAAGAAAGGTGAAAATTGGTGGAAACCGAAAAGTTAGTGAGAGAATGTCATACTTTTTTTTCGGCAATGAAGAAATCTTACACTAAGGGTTATACGAAAGAGAATGATATTAAAGAGGGATTATCACCAGATAGGATTACAGTAAAGCCAAAAGAAAGTTATAAACTTAGTCCAGACAAGCAGGCTTGTCAAATAGAGGCAAAATAGACTCTCCTGAGAAAAATTTCACATGTTACAAATGCGGGTCAAGAGAACATTTTAAGCATGGCTGCCCTCAGAATAAAGATACGAATGGATTAATCGATTCTGGTAGTGAGATAACGGTTGTAAAGGAAAGTATAATTCCAGACTTTAGATCCAGAAGCGGATCGGCAATTTATTTGAAGAGAATTTTTGGACCATCAAGAAGGTGCGAGTTAGTAAAATTACCTTTAGCAATAATTAATGGAAAGTGTGCAAATGTGCATCAGGAGATACTTTGCCCAGTGGCAAAATCTTTAGTTGAAGATGTTTTAATACCCCCACAGGTGTTAAGATATGTTACGGGGCGAAATCACTTGTACAGATCGACAGTTTAGCGAAGACGGAAGTAACGGTGGTTTGTTCTGTGAATCGAAGGGTTCCTCGGACTTGAGAGGGGCAGAAACACCTCAGTGTAAGTTAGAAACGGACATTCAAAGCCACACAGCTGCTATCCCAGACGCCGGAACGCACTTTGAGGAGAAAACAACTTATTTATCTCAGACGTCGGAGTTTCTTCAGCAGCAGAAAGAATGCACTGACTTGTCTAAAATGTAGGAAAGAGCGAAAATGGATAAAGGAAATTATATTGTGAGGGACGATTTTCTTTTTCATCGGGACAAGACTCTGGGACAAAGTGCAGAGCAATTAATTGTCCCTAAATGCAGAAGGAATGAAATTCTAGAGCTCACGCATGCATCAGTGTTTGGAGGACACATGGGAATTAAAAAAACATTAAAGAGGATTCGTTATTCCTTTTATTGGGAAAACGTGAAAAGAGATGTCCACCTCCACTAAGATGAAGATTTGCCTCTTAAGGCTAATTTTCACAACAGGTTCAACAGAACCGTCCAATGTTCATTAGAAATAATCTAGAGTTCATCAGAAACAAAACATTCCGAATTTTTCACAATCAGAGTTCATAGGTTTATTAGCTGACACACTTGATATTTCATACGAAATGTCAAAGTTCCTGATGGCTGACATGGATATTGAAAATTTCCAGCCCCCTACTTGACCAGGTGCAGGGGGTACTTAGAAAACAAAATCTTATCAGGATACAAAAGTCTTTTTACCAGTTTTTTTTTTCGTATAAAAAATAACAATATTACACTAAACATACTGCATAAATAATTCTACATTAGACAAACATTTTTATTTACCAACATCACTTAAAGAAGTTATCTCGAGAAGTGTTTTAAGGACACGAATTATGAACCTCTGAACCTCCTGTAGTTCGATTTTTTTTAAACATTATTATTATTCATACCAATCGTGACAACACATCTGTGGCTCAATGTTGCACTCCTAGACGATAAGTGATTTTTAAATTCCATCTTTGCAAAGAGAGAGCCCAACGCGTTAATTTTGGACTACTAGGTGTACTTTCGTAGAGATATTTCAAAGGATTATGGTCCGTAATGATCCCCCCCCCGAAAATCCACTTATCAAATTTCTTGAGCCCGAATAAAACCACCCGGGCCTCTTTTTCTATGCCTGTCCAATTCTTCTGAGCACCACAAAATTTTTGGGATGTAAAGGCTATTGGTTTAAAATGCCCTTGTGCATCTCTCTGAGTTAAACAACAGACGACTGCGGAATCTGATGCATTCGAATGCACCTGAAATGGTAAATTAAAATCAGGCGTGGCCAAAGACGTCACGTGACACAGCATATCTTTAAACTTCCGGAAAGCCGCGTCTTCAACTTGACCCCACCGTACATTATTCGGAGCATTCTTTTTTATCAAATCCGTCAAAGGTCGGGATATCTCGGCATAGTTCAGAATATATGTGCGATAAAATCCCATGAGACCCAATACCGAATGGACTCCCTTTTAATTCATGGGCCTTTCTAGCACTTTAATTGCTGCAGTCTTACTAGGATCTGGGCCGTGTTTGCTGTTTCCTATCTAATGGCCTAAGTAGTCTATTTCCTTAGCTGCAAAATCACACTTACTGAGTCTGGCAGAAAATTTTAACTCTTCCAGTATCTTAAAGATCGTTTCTAGATGTTTCGAGTGTTCTTCAAACGTGTTTGAGAAAAATTATAATATCATTGATATATGCTAGGGTGAAATCGCTGTACCGGAAAAGAACCTTATTCATTTCTCTTTGAAACATACCTGATGCTCCTGCCAAACCAAACAGCATGACGTTCCACTGAAACGTCCCGTTATGAATTGAAAATGCTGTTAGTGGTTTACTTGATTCATCCATTCCGATTTGACAGTATCCTCTGCGCATATCTAAACTGTATAGCCATTTTGAATGTCCAGCCACATATATTAATTCATGCATATCCTTCATAGGAAATGCGGGAGCTTTAATGATCGAATTCAAAGCCCTGAAATCCATGCACTTTCTGATTGTCACATCTTTCTTAACCGCACACACAACTGGTTGGGCTATGTCTGCTTCCGATGATTCAATGAGACCCAGCTCTAGAAGTTCCTTCACTTGTTTGTCCACCTCCTTGCGATATGCCATAGGAATGCTGTAACAATGAGGTTTTTTTCTGTCTACCCCAGGCATAACATCAATTTTATGTTCAACTGTAGCAGGTTGAACATGCCTCAAAAATAAATTCTTGTACTTCCCCAACAGTAGTTTTGAAGGTATGGTAAATAATCTAAGTACCATTAATCTTAACATCAAGCAAAGTAATAATCTAAAACCACTAGCGTGGGGTTAATTTACTTCACACATGTAACTGTCGATCGACACATAACTGACACCTTTTTATTGTTTGTATAACAATAAACTTTAATAGGTAAACAATTCTTGATTATTATATATCATAGGTACAATCATGAATAGGTAATTCTGGCATTGTCTCCGCCGGATGAGAAAACAATCTATGCAAAACAAAAAAAAAAAAAAAAAAAAGGCGATGGATCGGACCGTCCCGTCTGACATCTAGGGTCCAAAGTCCCCTTTGCCCCACTGGTCTTCTCATTCATCCTCTCTACTTTTTTCTTGTTTTTTTAATTACTTAGTCCAACAAACCACCTGGCGTTAGTTAGTGATCGTCACGTCGGACTAATTATTTTTTCCGGCCGGGCTTTTCCTTCTCTTGGGGCTATGGGCATTACAATAATGTGAAAATTTTATCACTCAGTTTTACTAGTGCTATATTTATGATGTCATACAAATTGTTTCAGTTAATTATGATTTAATTATGTTAAAAATAATGATAAACAGAAATCAGCATTTAGTTCTAAGGATAAGCCTTCCATTTGTAAAGTATAATTTTTTTTATCAAAATAATGATACATATAAATTTTTGCAAATTTCTACATTTAAAAAAAAACTTATGCATATACACCCGGCAATAATTAACAATGATTACCAAATTTTCTACTATTTACTAGAGGTACAAATTCATTCCTTTAGCATCAAACAAACAATTAAACTAGAAATGGTAGGGAAAGTAATATTCTTACCTCAGCGTCTGTTCTGGTTAAAACTGAAATATTTTCCTGCATCTCTTGATCAGTTTCTTTAATTAAGTCACCGAATTTAATATATATATTTTTAGGGACAGTAGGATCAAATAATTTTGCATGCAGCAGGAATGTTGAAAATAATAGAGCAAGAAACAAGATAGGCCCTGTTAAAAAAAAAAAAAAAAAAAAAAAAAAAAAAAAAAAAAAAAAAAAAAAAAAAAAAAAAAAAAAAAAAAAAAAAAAAAAAAAAAAAAAAAAAAAAAAAAAAAAAAAAAAAAAAAAAAAAAAAAAAAAAAAAAAAAAAAAAAAAAAAAATAAAAAAAAAAAAAAATATATAGATATAATGGTGTAATTTATATATACTTTTAAAGAATAGTTTAATATTGTGTTTTATTATTTAAATCACCATTTTGTATACTATTTGATTAGTTTTCAGACAAGAAATAACAAAGATAACACAGCTAATTCTCCTGCAACTTCACAATAAAATATAAAATTATATTATTTGTAGCTGGATACTTTTTATGAAAAGATATTTTAATACTTTTTAATAAATAAAATATTATTATTAATTATAATAACTTTTAATAAAAATAATACATATGTAAAACAAAATCCTAACTTTAATTTGTATTTAATTTGATCATTTCATATTTTTACCCTCAAAATAGTAAAAAAAAAAAAACTCTCCGAAATGTATTATTTTGAAATTAATTCCTATTATGCAATTCTTAAATAATGCTCAAAACATCATATAAGAATTACACTTTATATCAACATGAAACAACATCTTTTATATTATACTTGCAAGATGTAAAAAAAAAAAAAAAAAAAAACCAATACTTGTATATTATCACAGCTACTTGATAGAAATCATCAAAGTTTCAAAATATGGCAAATTCTGACAATCTTGTGCATAACAATTCTTCAGGCAATAATGTGCATGATAATTCTTCAATTTTAACAACCAGCATTACCATATTTATATGCACATTCTTTTTATTGTATTCCAAAGTTTTTTATACACAAATAATGGAATTTTATTCTCAAATCCAGTTTTAAAATATGTGCTTGTGGAATTTGCTGATTTGGAAGGAACTGCAGTAAAATTTTTTGTAGTATTATAGTATCCTGTCGCAAAAATCTGTAAACAGAACAATTGCTTTAAATCTATTCTTAACGGTGCTTGTCACAAAATTTCCACAAGTACAATAAATAAATAAATAAATAAAAAAAAACCACTTAAAAGTAGGTTTATTCATTCTTTTGGATAAATACATAGTAAAAATGCAAAATATGGCTGCAAAAATGCTTTTATGTAATAAGTAATTTGTTATGATTATAAGTCATAATTCTTTTTTAGAAAATTTGCCAAACTGAGCCAAAGTGGTTGCGTTAATACATAAGTATCAGAGAATATTCCAGGCAATAACAAAACAAAAATACTAAAATTTGGAAGCCAAAAACCTTAGTTAGCCAATTAAGATAAAGAAAAGCTACTATCATTTTTAACCTAACCTTTACATTGCAATCAATACATCTTTATCTCATTTGTTGTCTTGCTACTATGTAATCTGTCACTTATCTTCCTTACTTCAATGTTGCAGATACACACAAACACATTGCAAAAATGTGAAAAAAGCAAATGTAATTACTAAAAAGAGATACACAGGTTGCACCAATTTAACTGTGCTTGTCTAGAATGCTTTTCAAGAATAAAGAAGAGCTGAATTGGATATAGCTGCAAGTACATCATATCCTATGCAATCACATCAAAATTTATGTTTACATAAATAACAGTTTAAGATCAAATTGCTATAATATTTTAACTATCATGTTTTGTTTCAAGTATTGTCAATACTTAATGTATTCATTGACAATACTATATACAGATATACACAGTACGCACTTTTCACCCATGAACCAGATGATTTGAATTTTTTTTTTCAGAAATAATCATCTTGATTATTTTAACAATATTTAAATTCCACAAATTTATAGCATAGCTATATTTTTTAACAATGCTTCAATTTCATTAATTAAATCTTAACTTCTGAAAATGACTTTGGAATTTTAAAAAGAAATCATAATTTCAAGTTAACCACAAAATATGAAGATAATTTACACTTTAAACAAAAATCTCATCAATTAAAAATAACTATTTAATAATTTTATAACAATTTTACTTTATTTAGAAATATTAAATTTTATTGGCATTAAAAATGAGCACATTTACTCATCAATTAAAAAAATAACTCTGAAATTCGCAGAACATAAGAATGCACGCATACCTTTATCAGATGCAAATACTTCAGTCATATTTCCAAATGTGGTAAAAGTTTCAGAGAATATTTTCCATAATTCAATAGTTTGTCCAAATGGAAGATCTTGTACATGAAGTGCAACCGAATTTAAAACTTGTATAGGCAACCGTCCTCTTCTTACTAATTTCCCAACACTACCCTCTTTTACACATTCAGTCAATGCTAGTAAAAGCTTTACAAAAAACTTAGGTAGTTGGTGAAGTTGCGAATGCACATGCAGCAAACAACTGAACAGCTCACAATATTCCTTCCTGGTTTTCTTAGTACTCTGAAAGTACATTTGTTACAGCAATGTATACTTTTTTCTATGAAGCCATATAATATACATAAAAATATACAGTCTTAAGAAAAGTCTACATATACCTCTTTAATTACTCTGCCCATTAACTATGAATCAACATCATGAAATGCACTCATGTGCAATAACTACCAATTACACATCACTGAATACAATTTTATCACAAAATGCATTGCTTTAACCCTTTCTGGCATGCTACCTTTTACAGTCAGAATTTCAACAAACAAACAAACAAAAAAAAAAAAAAAGGGGGGGGGTTATGGGTTAAGCAATCTAATCAGGACTAGAGGAGTACACAGGAAAGAAACATTTTAATTCTTCAAAAAGAGCACAAGTGAGTACTGATGGGAAGCATATAATAGAGTAAAAGATTTTGCTTATAATTGAAAAACACTAGCTTCCTGATTACAGTAGCAGATTTAGCAGTACCCAGGTGCAGTATGGGGAGGCCTGCTACTCTACAACCCCCAAAAAAGTTCTTCTTGGTTATATGATGATTACATGCGCATAAATGAAAAAAAAGTAACTTGGCTATATGATATTTACATTATTCACATTTCGTATTAACACTTTTCTCTATTTCTTTACCATGATGGTGCTTTTCGAAGCAAGTGACACCACCTTTGAAAAAGCACAACCCAGCATTGCATGTTTTGCACACGTGCTGGGATCGGTATCAGATTCTTTGTTTGAATGCAATTCGTTTAGTACCTTGAGTGCTTCAGAAATGGTCAGCCCTCTCCAATCCATTTGCAAAATAATTACAAATCAGAAAAAATATTTAAAAAACCTGAAAGCTTTAATCTTTTACATTATGCCCAAAGAGACACTTTTTTAACATTTTGTGTGTTACCTTTATTTATTAAATATCATGTTCTTTGCATTTAAACCATAAAATTCAATTCAACAGCAATATCCCAAAATAATTTTGAAATGAGCATATATTTAGAATTTCTGATACACAGTCTCGCACGCTGCAGTTTTTTTTTTTTTTTTAAATTTTTTTTAATACCGTACAATGTTGACATTGGTTGAAATTCATTACAAAATATGAAATCAATAATAAAACATACTTCAAATTCCAAATTAGGACTTCTAGATGCCCCTATCCGGTGGAAGATTACATAATTCAAAATTTGATGGCTCTAGGTACCGTTCTTTTAGCACAATGCGAGAAACATACATTTATTCATGCAGATTCTTCATTATTTAATTTCTTTAAACATAACACAGGGTGATAATATTTGGTGGCAACAATTTGAAAAGTGAATTAACGTTTATAGTGAATCAATGCAAAATGCCAAAACGAAATTAATAGTCTTTCTGGGCAAATTGTCCCTTTGGACAAAAAAATAAACTAATATTATAGCTACAATTAAGAAAACATAAACTATAAAATAAAATTGAATAAATGTCTACAAGTCAAAACTATCAAAACTTACAGCTAACAAAACTCCTTTCAACAAAAGCGAAAGAAAACAGAGAACTGCTTTAATGAAAAATTAAAGAGCTAACAATTATAAAATATTAACCCTGACCTTCAGAATACACCAACAATTTCTTAGTTGATAACCAAACCTCCCTTCCACCCTAAAAAAAAAAAAAGATACAGTTGTTGGTCTGGTCCTGATGTTTCAGTGATCCCACTCTGGGCACACCAGATGTTTGCCGTTCGATTTTAGGCAAGATTTTAAGATAAAAAAATAAAATTAATATAGAATAAAGAGATCAGCATACAGCCAAGAAAATAACATAGAAAATTTCTTTTCAAACAATTCCTTTCATATCCCTTAAAATATATATATATATATATATATTTGGAAGATTTCTTTGAAAAATGAGGGTCTTAAAAATTAAACATGGCTAAAATATATGGACTAGTTTGTGTTCCGGATTTCGGACTTTGTACTGTAATAAACTATATAGCTTTTCCCATTCAATTTTTCTATGAGTACAGAGGGCATTTTTGGGTGCCGGAAAGGGTTAAAACAGTAAACAAATAAAATTTTAAAAAAAATTTTCTAAAAATCTACAAAATAACTTTTAATTTAACTTTATGATTCCTAATATTATTATATTATGATGCAAATAATAATAAATTTCAAATGAAATGCAACTATAAAATTTTAAATTGTTTTTCTGCCTTTTTTTACACTTGTAAACAAAAAGAAAAATTAAAGATCTGGCAAAAAAGCAACCTTAGTTTCACACATATTTTGAATAAAACTCCATTGATTTAATGTGATTTATCAGCAAAAACCTTTTTGCTCCTGATTAATAATGAATTGCATGTTAATTTTTTTCCTAATTAAAAAATTTTCAATGTTGTGTTTCTCTTACATTTGAGAAAGAAAACATTTTAATGTGTTTTTTTTTTTTTAAATTATTATCATTCCTACACTCTCTAGTACCAAAATTTTAGTTAGTTTCCTAATCCCTCTAGCTCCCAATTCTATGAATTAGTAAAATAATGGTTATAGTAATAGTATCTGACTGATTGATTTAATCATAAAAACCTGAAATCGGAAGATATTTGGATATCCTATAAAAGTTGAACAATAACTATAGAATATGATTATTGCCTACAAACGCTTCATTAAAATTAATTTATAGAGTTTTTAATGCATTTCAAATTACACAAAATTTAATCTGGTGTAACTTTTATGGGAAAATCCCATGCTTTTCAAAAGAATTTAAGATCTCTCGTTCATCTTCATGGAATAAAAAACTTTCTTCTGATTATAATCATTCAGTGTCTAGGCTTTAAAGTTAATAACATTATGCATTTCTCTAAATATTTTTTAAAAAATTAATTTTAATCTAAAATATCATTACTCTGTGTACTTAATGTAATTAAATCGCAAATAGTTATAATATTACAAAATTGACTTTAAACACTTCATATTTAGTAGCTAGTTCTAAACTCAACAAAACTCATGTTTTGCAACCACTTTTACTATACTTCATAAGCTTATAATATGAAAGAAAGTTTAAAACACATAATTTAGAAAAGTTTAATTTTTAATAACTTATCTCTTACCACAGATGTATTCAGAAGACATGTCTTAATCAAAGGTGTAACATAATCTTGTACCACAACTGGTGTTATCTTTAAAAGGAAGCGAAAACATTGTAACCAAATACATTTATGGTTACCTTCAACTTTTATATCCAGGAGAATAGTAAGAAGACCTTTTAACCAATCTGCAGGTTTGAAGTAATTTTCTGGGGTTGAAGACGAACTAAAATATTGTGGATAAGAAGAGCAAACTTCAAGAAGATGGCTTACAGCAAACAGACTTGAATGCGTACCAACAGCTTTCTGAAATTTAAAGACGGAATCAGTTACCATAATTAAAAGTATTTAAAAATACTATATTCTAAACAATGCATAACTGTTAGAATAATTATCAGCTCTACTGCTATGAATGATAAAAGTACTTCTACAACTACTGATATTTGCAGCAAATTAAAAATCAGCAACTTTCTAAATGTAACCACAGTTATTTATGTGGAAGAAGCTGTTTGCAAATTCTTGAATAAGCATTTATTAACATAAAATCATTGCTAATTTAAAGATACAAATAAAATTATTTAAATCGATAGAATTATTATGAATTTTGAATAAGTAACGCTTTATATAAACTTTCTAATAATTACAGATACATCATACATGTTGATATATATCACTTTCCTCATTTCTAAGCATTTATTAATCATTTTGCATTTTTCTAATATACCATTATCAACAGTTATTATATAAATACATAATTCAAAATATTTAATGTAATTAGTTAAATATGGCATTTAATAATCTAAATAACATTGACAATTAAAAATAGTAGTTAATGTCTTATTGAGAAGGAAACATTTATCAATGAATCTAATTATTTTATCTAAAAAATATTCTTTTTTAGGTGACTTCTCCCTACCATAAGAATGCATGCATGTTCAGTGAGTAGAAAAAAGAACTAAATTCATTTTTTCTGATTTCCTGGCTGTCTTTAAAATATTTTAAGAAATTGGCAGATTTAAAAACACTGAAGAGAATTTTATCATAAATTACAACTTTATTTGATGCTAATAAATTATGAAACATACTATTTTTCATTTTAATATGGTTTTAACTTTCTAAATACTTACACAGAAAAATAATTGCATTGATGTTACTCTCTTATAAATGATTTTTTGTGATTGTGCCAAAAATGTGCAGTTTATCTGCATTTCTGCAGAGCTGAAAAATGATATCATTAAACTTTATTTAAAACTTGAACACAAACCTAGCCTGTCTCAATCAATCAGAGCCTAAAGCACAGTGCTCGCTACTTCTCATATCTTTAGAATGTCATCTTGCTCGTTCGTATTCCAGTGTTTCTGGTTTCAGAGCCGATGACAGAGTTCTTGTACCAGTTAATCTATTATTTCCATTTATCATAGCTGATGTGTGCTCATGTTTAGGACTAATAAGGAACTTAATCACATTTTCCATGTACTAAAGCACTTTTTTTTTTTTTTTTTTTTTGGTTATGTTACTTTTATCGAAAGCTTAAGACATCACACTTTACTTTCCTTTATCCTGAGGAAAGTAAAGTGTGATGTCTTAAGCTTACTTATTATATATAACTTTCCATAAGGTTTGAAAATTAGACAGAGATCTACCAATTAGTGACTGAATTACTATAGAAAAATTGGCTTAATTCTTCTAGATTACAGCTTGGTAAAGTTATTTATTTGGTTCACACTACTTTTCACGAACTCCAAGATAAGAGATGCTGTTTTTCTTTGGCTGGTTAGTGTGAAAAATGATGGAAATTCTCCAAGTTTATTAGAATTTAGAGCCAATGAAAGATATTAAATCTTAAAAATGTTAAAGAAAACCAGTTCTTTTCAGCATTAGCTGATGAAACAACTGACATTTTGCAGATAAGCAATTTTCATTTCATATAAGGAAGGTGAGTAATGATAAAACAATAATCCATCTATAAGGAAGGATCTTTTTATCACTTACAGGATTGCCACTTAAACAGGAGAATGGAATTCCTTGACTTCTCCAGGTGTGTTTTAAGAAAATTCCAGTCTATCCATGTAATGCACATTGGCTGTGCTGTGAGGGAAATTAATTATGGTACCACTTGAAAACACAAAAATTTGCCAATCACACCTTATATATATATCAAAGATATAATCCCCTATATGCAGCAATGGTGCAAGAGAATTATTTAAATTTAATTTAACTTTACTGTATTCTTTTGAAAAAATTTTGTTTGTCTTAGCAGCTTTCAGTGCTAATTACCTAGTTTGTTTCCCTGATAATTTTTTTCAAAATTAAACTTTCAAGTTCTAATAGTTTGGTTTTCTTTAGTTTATGAATTATTTTTGCACTTAGCTTTATTTAAATTTTGCTTACAGTTTCTGTTTAAATACAATAGTTCATTTAAATTTTACTTACAGTTTCTGTTTAAATACAATAGTTCATTTAAATTTTAGTGAATTAAATTAGCAATACCATTTAAATTCCCAGTTTTTTACATATGCTCTCAGAATTTAAATGATATTGTAGATTAGTTCACAGCAATAATTAATTATTTATTTGTAATTCAATTTCATTAAAATTTAATTAACTTTAAATTTGCTTTTTACGAATAGAGAATGTTTGTTAAATTCAAATATATATATATATATATATATATATATATTGTAACTATAATAGGAGTTGCTTTCTCCACTAAAGAGTGAGATTAGAATCTGAACCAAACTAGATTACAACATTTTTTTGCCCACATTTTGCAACTAAATGAAAGAAAGAAATCTATTTAAAATAAATTTTTAAAATTTAATTTATTTTAATCTATTTTAAAATAAATTCAGGTATTTTATATTTTTTTAGCAGCATACATAAGCAAAAGATATATGCATTAAATTTCGTGATAGTATGTCATCATACTGGTAGAATTAGCTTCAGGGTTAAGCCAGACAAAATTGCCTAAAATTTGAAAGTATTATTTATAATAAAATTATCATAAATAAATTTAAAGGGAAGAAGCCACATTAAATGACACGAATAACATAATAACATTAAAATGAAGTTAATTACTAAAAAATTGAATTTCAATAATCAACGATAACTGACAATACAATACAATACAATAATAACTGATTACTATTTTTTTATTTTACTGCAAAACGACAAATAAGGTATTTATTTAAAAGAAAGAAAAAGTTTAAAAGATATTGTGGTAAAATGCTAGCATACACTATGGCCTTGGCCACCATTTTGAAAACTATTGCCAACACCAAAATGACTCATTTACTGCTCATCATCATGTTGCCAAATCCCATGTGTACCATTACTAGGATTAAACTGATTTTGTTTTATAAAGAATGGGAAGGTATTTTCTTTAGTTCAGCATGCACTGCACATGCGCATACAAGTCTTTCAATTCTCGAGGTTACTGGAAACCAAAGTTGCTGGAAACTTACTTTGCCTTTCTAAAAGACAATCTGATTGAAGCTGTGAAAATTAGCTTTACACCAGCTGCCTGAATGACATTTATGTGATACATAATTTGTCAAGAAAGTTTGAAAAAAAATCACTTTTTTGGACGGAATTGCCATATCCAGAGTTTGACTAAAATATTTAAATTCCCTGACCTTCTTGGTCAATTTTCGAATTCCCTCCCTTTTTCTAGTTTTCTAGGTAGCAAGGTAACTCTGCACTTATCCCAGTACATAAAATGTTTCCCGGTAAAGTTCTTGCAAATGTAATTATAGAAAAACTTGGAGGCTTACAACATTTAAGAGTGGAAGGTTATGATAAATCATCAATAATAAGTGGAAATTTCAATCTATTATATGAAATACATATTCAAAAGTCATATACACACATTATGTATCTTATTGTTTAAACCTTTGTCTAAATGATTCCTCTAAAATTCAAGACATTAGACATACTATTAGAATTATTTCTGAAGAGGGTACTTTTTTGTAATATCCAAAATGTATTAAAATATTAGAAGATATAATGAAAAAGATTATTCCTTCAATGGACAAGAAACAAGTTTAAAAAGTATGCAAAATTACAGCTACAGAACTACAAATTATGAATTTAAAACTTTTTAAAGGAATATTATTGCATCACCTTGCACTGTCATTCACAGAAAGTGTGTGTGCAAAATGTGAGCTCAACAGCTTACCAATGAATAGTTTAAAAAATAATTGATCATAAAGTTTCGAGCACAGCAACAAACAGCAGGAGCAAATTATATAAAAGCTTACAGAAACAGTGTCGCATATAATGAGACGATAGTAACTTCAAAATCATGCTAGCAAGGGAAATCTCAAGATGCTAAAAGAAGATTAAAAGGCCCAAGTGTAGCCTATTCCCCCAAAAAATTGACCGATTAATATCTTTTTACTATTTTTGTTTAAAAAGAGTGCAAACAGTTTGCTTTTTAATCTGAGAAAAATTCAAAACTTCATACGATGCACTTTTATATGCTGAAATTTTAATATAATGTTAATTTCCAAACAATCACTAAAAAGTCAGAATTTGCATTAAAAATTTCATGTAAGTTTAATTTAAAATAATTCTGCAGCTCTATCCAATGGCACAAACAGCAAAATTCTAGAAGAACAAACAAAAGGATTTTTAGTTTGTTTACTAAATGTATATATGTATGAAAAAGTATTTTAATAAATTTTAGAAAATCTAAATCAAATTTTTAAAAAAATCAGTTTATTAACATTGCATTTCAATTTGAAGAATTTGTTCAAATTGTGCGAAATCTGAATTTGACAGCTTACCAGGAAAGAATTTAAAAGTTAATGACACACTTTTGAAATGACAAACATCATGAATGATCTACATGAAAGCTTATAAAAAAGTATTAAAACTTCCAAAATATATTAAATTTTGTAAAACATTTATAAAATTTAGTACAACTGTAATAATTTATTTTCATTACTATAGCGATTTCCAAAAGATTTATATCAGATATATAACATGTTTTTCATTTTTTTTGGGGGGGGGGTCATTCTTTCCTGTAACCATTTCCTATAACAACCTTCAGTAGAATGCAATTTTTTTTTTTTTTTTTTTTTTTTTTAATCTCCAAGTTTTGGTGACAGCCTTTGAATTTGTATGAGATGAAGTAAGGTTGATCGGGCACTGAAATTACTGTGTTGTATATATATATGAAATTGTTGTGTTATACATATGTTTGTATTGCTAAGATCCAAAAAGTAGTGATGAATAAACTGAGTTAATTTTAATTTTAATTACAAGACATAGTTTTAACTAACCTTTTAGTTGATGAGAATTCATCAAAAGCATAGGCATGCCAAACAGGAGTAGCTGTGTTTAACCTTGCATACCAGAATATTTATAAAATCATTTGTCATTATCACGTGAATCCCATTCTTGCAAATTTATTGTGGCAATAAATATATTAAACATACTATATATTTGATGAAATAAAATATTTTATATCCACCAAAATTTAATTAACAGCATACTTTAATTTGAGAAAGAAAAAAATGAAAGAACATTTTCACATTTCTAAGCATTATTTCATTTATATGAACTACTCATAGAGTTTTTTTCACTAATGAAAAATTAAATCTTCTAAATAAGTAAATACATAGTAAACATCTTTAATTAGGAATATTAACTCTAATCTTTTCAAAATTTAGAGTGAACCTCATCTTATATAAACAGCAAATGGTATTACCTGAAAAACTGAATAGCAACATGAATCTGCTGTAATCAGCAAAGGAATATCAAATCCTGAGACTGCACAAAACAGGGCCAAAACTTTTAATGAACGCAATCCAGATCTGGAATGAAAGATGAAACAAAAGAAACACTTATTATAAAACCTGATCCAACTGAAACTCTTTGCACTTTTGCTTTAAATGTTTTAGAGTAACTATTCTCACCTGTCTTGAGATAAATACACAGACAGCAATTTCTTCATAAGCAGTGCACTTATTGAACTTCCTGGTACACCACAATACAAAGTTATCTAAGTTTTAAAAATGAAATAAACATATAAAAAACCTGATAAATATTAAAAAAAAATATAAACAGCACACAATTTGATGTTTAAATCCTTAAATCTACATATTAACCTTTTTTTCTGATGGTAATAAAAATCTCCTATAAATTGTTATGCACATGTACTATATGAAGATATTTTATTCATAAAAAAAAACCTAAATGATTTATTGGTTTGGTATTTGAACAGATGTCTATATTAAAAGCAAAGATCACATTTTCTTATAAACTTCTGAAACCACAACAATTTTTTTTTTTTTTTTTTTTTTTTTTTGCACAGCCCTGTATTTAAAAACTGTATTATGACAATTTAACTTTTGTGTTCACCCCCCCAAAAAAAAACAAAGCCTTAACTTTTGTGTTCACGCCCCCCAAAAAAAACAAAGTCCACTTAATGTTTTGCTGTGGCGTATCAGATTTAAACTATATACTGTATTTGCCAGCACATAAGACACACTGGCCTATAAGATGCATCCCTTTTTTATACATATTTTAGAAGGATAAAACTTTATTACTGATCATTATGATGAATTTACAGTATTTTAAATATACACTCATGTCCAAAATTATGTTTACATGCATAAATTCACGGATTTCTCAGAGATTATGACTTATAATTTAATGAATTTTCGTGGAATCATACATAACATGATGACACATAAATGCAAAAGAAAAAATTGAAGATCACCTCATATGATATAAAATTGTAGCATGAAACAATAAAAATGGTAATAAAGTGTGACAAAGAGAGTTAAGAAAAAAAAAGGAATGATTCAGAAAAAGAATTAAGTCTTACGAATTTAATATGGAATATGATCTCCCCTGACTTGTACACACATATCACAACGTGTTTTAAGGCTGGAAATAACGTTGTTAACCACAGTTTGGGGAATTAATCTCCACTCTTCCAGCAATGCCGTCTTCAGAGCATTTACATCTCTAGGAGGAGGATGTATACGTGCAATTGCTCTTCCAAGGTAGTCCCATAAGTTCTCTATCGGGTTAAGGTCAGGAGAGTTTGGTGGCCAAGGTATTCGCTTAATGTCTTCACTTTCAAGGAATTCATCAACGAGGTTTGCTCGATGTGGACGGGCATTATCATCCATAAATAAAACGTCAGGTCCATATGCACCCCTGAAAAGTCTTACATAAGGATCTAAGACCTCATCTCGATATATCTGGCCTGTCACAGATCCGCTGCTGAACACGTGTAGGGGCGTACGTCCATCGATCATTATTCCACCCCATACCATCACACCTCCACTACCGAAACGGTCACGTTCCACAATGTTCGAGGGATCATTTCGTGTTCCTGACTCCCTCCAGATGTAAACACGTTTAGAATCACCAGTTAAACTAAACCGCGACTCATCAGTAAAGAGAACATGGGACCATTGATGTTCAGTCCAGTTTTGATGTTCTTTACACCAATTAAAGCGATCCCTCTTTTTCTGTGAAGACAGTAAAACACATACCCTTCGCTTTCTGGCATAAAGGCCTTTTTCATTAAGCCTTCTGTATATTATTTGCCGTGATGCAACAGTTCCAGTGGCGGCTGCAAGCTCTGAACTGGCGAGCAGTAGCCTTTCTGTTACGACGGGCAGTTAATGCCAGATACCGATCTTCAGAAGCAGTTGTCATTCGTTTCTGACCTTGTCCAGGCCTCCTTACAACACCTCCATCATTTTGAAACTGTTTCCATAGCTTAGAGACTGTCTGTCTTGAAATGTTCAGACATGTGGCTGTTTCCATGATTGACTGCCCTGCTTCTAAACGGCCGATAATTCGCCACTTTACAGATTCTTCCAAATGATACTTCGAAGCCATAACAAACCGCTTTGAGTCCCTACACACTGAAATCAAACGCTATGTTGCAGAAATTCACTCAAATATTCAGTTTGCGCAAAGCGCTTGATTTACCCTTGGATGACGTAACGCCTAGATTTGCATATGACAAACCGTTTGATTACTTTTGATTGGATAATGCTAATTAGGCTTGGTTTTCACACATTCCCTGCAAATACGGATCACATTGATTCGATATTTCATTGAATATCATCATTTTTGGGTATGTAAAGATAATTTTGGACATGAGTGTAGAATAATGCAAATACAAAGTAATACTTTCTGCAAATACCCAATTTACCTGGTAAAGAACACTTTTTAATCAATAGAGAAGGCAATTTTGTCCTATCAGCATAGCAGGATAAAACAACTGCATAGTGAGTTTTCTCATGCCCTGAAGTTTTAACAGTAACATTTTTTGCACCTTTTGGAATCTATAGTTTTGTTTGACGGCACATCAAAAATCAAAGGAACCTTGTCCATGTTTCCTATTTGTGCAAGTTCAAAATTTTCTTGTTTTTGTCCATTAATGATGAATCAATGAAATTCAAATTCCACTCCATACGCATAATTGTTTCCTGTTGCAGATAATCATCTATGATGCGAGCCCTGTGTGGTCTTGCATTGTCGTTCTGTAATAGGAAAGCATCACCTATTGCCCCGGCATATGGGCGCACTTATATATCCATATTATTATGACATCCTTGATGTTTATACATCAAGGATGTCATCTTTATAAATCTGAGCATTCATGGTTTCCCTTAGAAAGACATGGAGGTCTGTGTGTCCACCCAAAGAGATGCCACACCAAACACAGACACTGCCCCTTCCGTAAGCATCTCTTTCACGGCTGTTTGACGGATGATAACAGGTTCTAGGTTCTCTCCATATCAAATAACACCTAAAATCGCTTTTTAGACTAAACCTGAACTCATCCATAAAGAGAACCACCCTCCATTGACCAAGCGTCCAGTGGACATGTTGTTGTGCCCACTGAAAACGGTCCCTCCTATGGCGTGACGTGAGCGGCACACAAATGGCTGGTCGCCTCGCATACAGACCGCCTTTGTGAAGCCTTCTACGCACAGTTGACGCTGACACCAACCTTCCGTTGGCTGCTAAGGATCTAAGAAGAGTCAGAATAGCGGTTCCATTCCTGAGTGCACATAATAACAAATATCGGTCATCGGCACTCGTCCTAGCAGTTGGCCGTCCTTGGCTGAACCTCCTAGATGCTGAATCTGTGGTTTGAAATTGCTTCCAAAGTCTATGAACCACAGAAGGACTCACATTTTGCCATCTGGCCACTTCTGTTTGACTTTGTCCTGCCTCTAGTCTCCCAATGGCTCACCATAGTAGCTCTGCAGCAAATGATGCCTGGAGGTCATTGTTACGAATTGGCTATCTCAGATTTCTGATGTCACTGTCATAGTGAAATATGTGGGCTTGCTCTCAAACATGGACTTTTATGCTCCTCGCAGATGACGTATTCCGAAAGCAGCGCCACTCATTTGCATATCGCAGTTTTACTCAGCTACACTTACTTGGCAACATATTAAAATTTTACACGGTGTGGCTTATTTTTGAGAGAGTTATTGCTATTTTTGTGATTTTTCCTTAATTTATGATAACCAGTGTAAGTAAATGATGGAATATCATAAAAAAATGGGTATTTATTTCCAAAATTTCTTCCCCCAAAATTTTAGTAGTTTTTTTCCTTTTTCTTTTTTCTTTTCTTTTCTTTTCTTTCTTTTCTTTTTTTTTTTTTTTTTGTGACAAGAGCCTTCAGATTGTCTCTGATGTGTTTGCACACTACAATATGATTTACCCAAAAAGCATAAAACTTAGCTACAGGAACTGTCATGATGCTAGTAAAATGTACAGCATTATAATTCAATAGACCAAACAATATTATTTCTTTTCAAAAGGCAGCATAAAAATTACACAAAGAAAAACATGTGCTTAGATACAAACACAAAATCATCTTTGCTTCTGGCTAAACAATCCATATTAAACCTAAGACCTGCAAGCTACAAATTGTCAGACAAGCTTATAAATACCACAGCTAAAAAGGAAATTTATTTGCATTTCCTGGAAACAAGGACTGAAGGTCACTTACGCTGAAGCAAAATTTTAAATTTCTCAAATGCATATTAAAAAAGTTTTACTTGTCTTAAAAGCATTAACTTTATGGTGCCACAGTTACAGCTGTTAAAATACTGACCATTGCTGAATGTATGATTAGACATACATGTCCCTGAACTAATTTTGTATTGCACATAAACAAAATGTTGTATCTATATTCTTACATCCATGTGTGCCAGTTTTGATTTTCAATTATTTTATTTTTAAGCCTATACTTGTTGAATTTTATGCAGTATCCTTAAAATAATTGTACAATGGCAGAAAAATCTTTGAAAAAATATTATACTGAAAATGGTACAAGATACATTTCTGACTGCATCATAGATGATTTAAAATAGCAGTACATGTTTTAGCTTGACCTTTGAATCAAGCACAAATATTTCAGTAATACTGAGGCATTCTACTTTTGTTAAGATATGTTAGTGAACATAATTTATTTTATGAAGATTTTTTTAAATTTCTTCCTACAAAAAAATTAAACCAAAGGCATAGATTATCTCAATAATAATATTACACTTCTGGAAAAGAATTATACTGAAATAATGAATTAGTTTTTATGTCAACTGATGGTCATCAATCACTGATACGATCTGAAAACAGATTTCCTGCTTTATTAAAACAAAAGTATAGTTTAACAAATCTCTTATGATTTCATTGTATCGGTCATTATGAAAATCTGACAGCAGTAGTATATGCCTGAATTAGATGCTGAGATAAAAACTGTAACAAATAGTAATGGACCACAGTTTGTGTATCTCAATACAAAGAAAGGTTAAATGACTTACAAAAATGTTGAGTTGACAAAAAAGTAATTTCAGTTTTTTACTGAAATAAAATAAAAAAAAATTTCTGCACAAAAAAATGAATGTTAATCAGTCAAATATCTTCCATTCTCCTCGATGACCTTTTGCCATCTTTTTGGCAATTTCATGATTCCCCATTTACAGAATTTCTGTTTTTTATCAGCAAAAAACTCAACCAGGTGTGATTTGAAGTCATTGTCATCACCTCATTAAAAATATTCAACTTGTTTTCCATTTTTCGTATTTTTTTAATTGTGTTTTCGTATCTTCTTGTGCTTTATCTTTATGTATTGCATGCAAAATTTATATATTTTAAAAAATATGATTGGTTTTTAAAATAATTTTACTGTATTTTTTCTTTATATTTACATGATTTCTTTTTTACTAGATGATACAACTTTATATCAATAAACAATTAAATGTTGATTTTATTATATATATATAATTACAAAACAATTCTTTTAAAAACAAAACACGAACAAGCCAAGTTATTTTCGCGCAGCATTCAGTGGGATCCTTATTATGCCAATCAATTACCAATGCATATTACACTACTGATCCCCAATCGATCCCTTTAAAAGTTTACCTACCCCGCCTCTCACGGACCCCGCCAGAAATCCCTGACTTGGACAGTACTATTTTTGATAGCCTAATATTTTTCCCTTATTCAGTTGAAACTTTTAAGGTACTCTAAAGATAAATATTTGCTTAATTGCTTGTCATTTGAAGACTAGGCTAAAATGAAAATGAGAATACAGAAAATGCTTTTTAAACTTTCAATGCAAATAAATTTTTTTATTATCTTATTGGATGTTCATAATATTTTACTGTCCATAATTTATCAATTAAACTTTATCTGTTTAATGTAATTTACTTGAAAATCATATTAACCGTAGCATTTGTCATTATCAGTGATGTTACATAATCCTGACAACATTTAAATGTAATGCTCACAGATGTGAGGACACTACTGCACAATAAAGTAAATAAAAGTAAAGGACATACATTCTTAATTTACTATTATTAAATAGCAAAATAAATCCATAACTTGAATAAATATATAAAAATTAAATATTACTTCAACCAACCTGTTTACACAGAAGTTTCTGGAGACTCACAAAGAAATCTAAAATGTCAAGGTTTTGATCAGAATAAAATTGCACATCTTTATCAGATGCCAGAAGTGTTTCAAATAATTTGCTCTGGGAACTAGAGGAAAAAGATAAAAATACAATATATCCACAATTCTTAAGTTTTTATGATAGCAATCATAAATAGATGAGAAAATACTTCATTTTTAAAACTAAAGGCACAAAATTTTTTTCTCCTTTAAAAGAAGAAACTGAGTTTTTATATAAATTTAATGCTAATTTAAGGCAGAATTTTGCCTAATTTCAAATAGAACAGTTATTAATCATGAAAACATACTTAAAAATTATAGAAACCAATTTATGTGCCAATTTATTCGAAAGAATATCATCTGAAGCAAAATAGATATAAGCAGCAATGTCTTCCAGCGCTTCAGTAAATGCACTGACCTGCAAGAAAAATAAGAACTGCAATTCTCATAGTCTAGTCTACATAAATTCATAAATTTATCGCAACAATTATGAAAGTTATATGACTGCAGAATTGCAATGGATTATGGCAAAGAGACATAAGGCTATTTTCCTGTGGGAAGGGATGGGTTTATGTAGTCTAGTCCATATTTACTTTATAAATGACAAAAACTATCAAAAACCTTATATGCTCAGTCTGATCTATTGCTAGAAATAAAACCCCAGAAAATTACTAGTATGTTGAGACATAATTTATGAGCTTGGCTACTGTAAATCATGTTTCAAGGAAAAGCATTTTCTTTTTGAATACAAAAACTGCTTAAGAATTAAAAAATGTTGCATTACCAAAACAGGTTTTAACCAGAAGGGTAGAAAAAATAAATTCCCTTTTCTTTAAGGCATTTCTGCTGATTTTTCATCAGCTCTGGATAAGGTTAAGTTATCTGAATACAGCAAAGCACACAAGAGCTAGCTGCTTTCAAAGAGAGCTTTTTATGGGAAGATGGCTCATGTTTGGGAAAACAACCATACAGTTAACCCATTTACCTGGGATCAAACTGGGTTGTACTAGTATTCACAGTTTTAACCGATAAATTCACTAACACAGCAGATGAAGCCTCAAATGATAATTTTCATTCAAACAGTATCCAAAACCTTGTTTTCTATGAAAGTCTGCCTTGGCCTAGCTAGAATTTCATTTGATTCACACAGTAACTTACTGCTGCAATTTTACATAAGTATATCCCTCAATACCAACTATTACTGTTTAGCAGAAAAAGAGAATCAGAGTCAATAGCATCAGATTTGTTGTCATTTCTAAACAGAGAAAGAAGCAGATGAAAAATTAAATTTGCATACATGCTTTTGGTTTTAACAAATATTTTGGAAAACAGGGAAAGAAATTCAGACAATTATCACAAAAACTTTGTTCCCATCTAAAAGAAAATTGCTTCAGTAGTGATGCTTAATACATCACATGAGAAGTAAGTATGCAATTTTTGTTTCAAATCTCACTCCTCAAATAACTGTCATTAAATATTACAGATGAACACAAAGCATTATATGGCCAATAGTGTATTTCCTTGCATATAGTCCTCCTTTTTTTTTTTTTTTTTTTTTTTTACTAATTTTATCACATGAAAATTGAGATAGGAAAACTATGCAAATAATTTAATTTCTAAAGGACATGGTTAGAGTAAGAACATAACAAATGAAAAGTAGTCATGGATGAACTACAGATAACTATCACAGTTTCTTTAAAAGAAACAACATTAAAAAAAGAATACACAGTAACTTAAGGCTCAGCCATTCTTATTGTCATCTTGGCACCTCTTTAGGCCTCAAATCATGCATAAATAATTACAGAAGCTGAATGTACAGCTAATTCAGTCAAATCATAGAATGAATATCAGTTCACCTTTGCTTAACTGTGATTGCTCAGTTCTTGTACTAGGCTGGTATAAAGTTCAACAGTTAGAAGGAAAATATTCAGTGTGACCTTCATAGGTAGTTTGCAAGTATTTGTCTTTGTTAGTAAGGTGAAATCAATCACTATGTGGATGAATCCGTTTTAAAATTAAATGGAGCTCATTCTCTGAATATACTGGATTAGGGGAAAAGTACATAAGAAAATAGAATATAACTGCTAGTAAGTGTAACAAAATAACTATTTTTGTAAAACCAAATGTGTTAAATGTAATATTGGCAAATCTCAATCACATTTTGGAAGTTAACATGTTTCATCAAATGTACAAGGAAATAAAAGCACTAAAGATGTGCAGAATAAAACTGAAGTAAAAGAAATAAAGGATTTGTTAGTTCCCTTTTCCCAGAAATGCTGGTCAAAAAAATTCCTAACAATAATGATTTACACTATCGAACTTTGAGATCTTAGGTTACTGCAAATAATTCCACTTTCAGCATTAGATTATTGTATGACTTAATGTTAGGAAGAACACTTAGGTATTAATCCATTTCGAGAAAAGCTCAATAACAAACTCTAGGTAAAGAATTACTGAGAATTCTCACTTATGTATCTCCAAATCTGCTAGTGACAAAACTTAAAAGAAAAAGACTGGTAAAAAAATACGAATGGTTCCATTCTGATTATCAAAGCTCTTGAAATTAAAACCATTCATTTAAGCATGAGTACAATGACAACCCATGAGGTTATAAATAGATTACATAAAGAAATATTTATATTTGATTTGTCCGACAGTGGCAAGATGGTAACATGGCAAATTTTAATACGGACTGATTATTTGAATTGTATTTAAAAACAAAACAAAACAAACAAACAAACAAAACAAAAAAACCATCACTTAATGGAGTACTTAATTTTGTATGAAAGCATATTTGTTTGGGTGTTGGTAAAGGGTAGCAAATGAGACAATTTTTTCAGAGGAAAAAAACGGCTAATAATTACACAGGCTAATTCGGCAGCCCACCCGTAGGAACTGATTTTGCTAGAGCCATAACCATAAAAGCACAAAAAGAAAGACAAAAGAGATTTTAAAAAAAGGCATACATTGTTCTGTTTATCTGTGCAACTACACAGACTACACACACTGAAGTGGTCTTAGATATGACAACAACTTTATCTCTTCAACATTTCTTACAAACAACAGGAAGCTCTAGAAAATTCTATTTTGATAACACAAAATCTTTTTAAAGCTTCTGAAGGATATTTATAACATCTAAAGGCATTATTTTGAAGTTATTACCTGAAGTTTATTATTTATTTATTTATTATATTAAAAATTATATTGAGTGAAATAGAGAGCGTACTAAACAACAGCCACTAAAGGTCTAATGAGGTGGGTGAACCCATATTTTGACTTGCTGCTTGCTTCCAAGATGCAATAGCATCAGTTTTCTTTTATATTTTGCAGAAGTTTCCAACAGAGCTTCTGACAAGAAGATTCTGATAAACAAACTGTATCAATCAGGGCTTTTAAAACAAATATGGTCTAAATGGGAAAAAAAAAAAAAAAAAAAAAAAAAAAAAAAAAAAAAAACAATATTTTCTGCAACTGAGAAACACTTAACACTCCTTAAATCTTAAATCTTTCTTCTGAACACAACCTTGGAAAAAAATGTTGTTCTAGCAAAAAGATAAAAAGAATGTAAATTACTTTGGGACATAAGTGTTGTTGAAGATGTGCTAACAGGCAGAGATGGGCATGTACAATTTGCCTTTTTCATAATCCAAAGGCCACTTTAGAAGATCCATTCAACTTCCATATCTTTTTTAAAGTTTAACTGTATTATTTTTTCAACAGAAATGTATTCATTCATTACATCTTCTTATTTACTGGTATCAATTCTTATCTATGCCATTGTCATTAATGACAGTTAGTTTTATTACCTTATTTCGATAATAATATCAGTTGTTATTTATCAAAAATTACTTAGCGAATTTCGATTTTTTTTGGGGGGGATTAAGCTCACTAATATTAATGTTTATGTTAACTATCAGTTTGTTATTGAGATATTAAGGATCTTTGTAATCGTAAAAATAATGTTAACTGTTTATCCTTTGATTGCTGTTACACAAATCTATGTAGTCTTTAGCAAGAATTCTGTCATAAGTTGGACATTTTATTAAGTTAGTGTCTCTAATCCTTTTCTCTGACTTGCTCTATTTGTTTAATTCTATAATTTTTTTATTAATCATGTTTTTATAAGTTTCAGTATAGTTGAAAATGATATTGCACTTAAAAATGATTGCATGATTTCTTCTTCTCTCTTTATTAAAAAATTAGCCATTTCATCACCAAGTAGACCACAGTGAAGCCACTACTGAAGAAACATGATTTTGTGTTTAGTTTTAAGAATTCCAAGATAACATAAAACATCTTTAAATTAAACTGAGTCTACGTAAAACTGTGAAGAAAACATTTTTATAAGTACACTTTTTCATAGTCATAATTATATTAATTTTAGCTATAAAGATATTAGGTAAATATAAAGTATTAGGTAATATAATATTAGGCAAATACACTGGTTTAATACACATACATAGCACAGAGAAAGAGCCAAAAATGACTATGGTAATAAATCTTAATATTTCATACATCATTCTCTTTTTTAAAATACAGATCTCTAAAAAAGTATTTTCCTAAAACAATAGTTTTTGAAGCTGAGGCAAAATAAACAATCATATTGAAAATTGGGAAAAGAATATCATACTCAGCGTGTTCTACACCACCCAATTATAACTTAATTCTGAACATCCAAGAGATGATTACAAGGCTGGAAATCATTATCAAAAATTATATATAAACACTGAAACAAATGTACATTGCAAATAAATAACAAATTGCATAACTTATAACAACAAAATATTTTTACCTTTAAATTCTTATTTGAATGATCTAAACTGTCAAGTATATCCATGATGGTAAGTGCTAAATTTTTCACCTCTTTTAAGCTTTCATAATAGCATCCCTCTGATTCATAAATCTTATTTAATATATCAATAGCAGCAAAAAGTAACGACAGCTATAAAAATAAAATTTATGTATAATAAAAAAATAAAATTTATGTACCAATATGACAAAAAAGAGGGTACTTTTCTGTTATGTATCTGCCATGAATTTTGATGACTATCCTAATATACGTGTGTGTGCACTATCCTAATAATATGTATGCATGTTTAATTATTCTTGTTTATACACATATACGCACAGTCCTGAGATGATGCTATTCTTAGCTCTCGGCTAAGAATATCATCTCAGCTTGTTTGGCTTCTCTTTCAAGGGGATTAAAAAACATAGCAGATGCATAATGAAAAATACCACACTGAGTAATATTTTTTTTACACTTCAAGTTTCCAAATGTTTAAATTTATCAAAGGTTTATTAATAAAAGTAATTTTTGTACCTAAAAGCATATACATTACACTTTTTTATTAGATATTTACATAAAATTAGAAATTTAAAAAAATACTTTTTTATTTCATTCTTATTTTTAAAAAACATTCTATTAAAAAAGAAACAAATAGTACTAAATCTATATAAAACTGTTATAAAATTTGCTAGGAAAAAATTATGAAAAATAAAACACTTTTTTAAATTGAATCTGAAAGATACTATTTCACCAATTATATCTGACGTCAAGAATAGTGAGAATCCTATTCAAAGGTAATTCATTAAAATTCTTAGAACAGCACTTTTTTTTAAAATTCATTATTGCGACTGAGCATTTTATTAAGTTAACAAGATCTAACTATTTTATTTTTCATCATTTATTAAACCATTAAGTTACAGGCCTCTTAAAATTTATTTCTAATCTAGATAGCTGGTAATGTACACAATATTTACAAATTCATGTACTGTAACACAGAGGCCCGATGGCGCAATGCCTAGTGCATCGCACAGCAGCACCACAGGTCCAGGTCAACTCAGCCTTTCATCCGTTGGGTCGATAAAATGAGTGCCAAGTTCACTTGAGGACTAAACACTGGGGGGTCTTGTGACAAGATGACCACTTGTTCAGGGCATACGCTTACGCACCCCGGGGCCCATGGTCAAGAAAGCAGATTTTCGGGGCATCGCAGGCCTTTACCCATTAAGGCTGTTTGTGCCACTGAGTTTAGTTTGTACTGTAATATTTCATTACATTGTGTTTCACATATATAGAGAAAGAGGTTTAACAAATATTTCTAAGCAAAAAAGATATCATTTGTTAGAAGAAGAATTAATTTCTTAACTGAGTATGGTTTTTGTCATTCATTTTTAAAGAAAAACTATTGATTGTGATTAGTATGTTCTGATAAACAGTTTTCTTCACACTATATGGTTTAATATATATTTTAAAAACTATTAAATATAAATTAAATTATATATTTGAATTAAATTCTTCCAAATTTATTATTAAGATTTAAGATAGATAGAATCTATAAGATAGATACTAAATGCCATAGCATATATATATTGTAATTATATAGAGCTATATATATGTAATATTGTGGCAATCAAGCACGAGTGAAGCTTGGCAGTCTGGTCACATCAGAATTCCGGACATTGTTGTGGCCGAGTGTAATCCAATGACAACACAGAAGAATTTAAATTTTTAGCTCCATATCTTTATTCAATTCAAACAGCAGATCATTCAAGATTACATATGCAATAGTAATTTGAACTAAATAGTATTAACTTTAAATTTATTGCAACATAGTATTCAAACAAAGGGAAGCAGATGAGAAGAGAGACAGCAGTAGAGGGAGAAAACAGCGGTCTCTGTGGCAAAATGATGCGAATTCTTCATTTATAGGAGCGGTTACATAACATGGCCGAATGTTCTCGAAAGTACTAATCCTGGGGAAAGACCCTGAAATTGCGAACTAGAGGTTGCCTGTTCGCGTAGAGCAAAGCCAACTTAATTTTTATATTTTTCATCTACCCTCCCTAAAAACAAGAGAACGGCTAAGCAAAGCATTAGTACATTAGTGAAGCAAGAAAAATTTTTAGAGTATGAGGAAAGACATGAAGAAAAACATCCAAGACATAGCTTACAGACTTTAACTATGCCTCACCATAATTCATGATCTTTCTCCTATAATTAGAAAATACTTAATTATATACTTCTTACAATAGAACCTATGAGTTACAAATAAACATATAATTTATAAGTAAACATCTAATTTAGAATTATAAGATAATAATATGTGTAATAATACTAAATAATAAATTAGAATAATAAGTTTCTTCAAAATGTCCATTGAACTCTTTGTTTTAAAGTCTTTTCACAATGAAATGTTCATGAAAATCTCTTGATGTCACAAAGTCCACAAAATAAAAATAAGTCCACAAATATCATGCACTTTTCACTGAAGATGGTTCCATAGTCAGTTTTTGAATAGTAGATTTTTGAAATTTGTGGACATCTTTTATATAAAACTTTAAAAATATAGAATTTATGCGTAATGTATTACTTCATTCATTCTTCTCATCGTAGATGATTAACAATACATTGACATTTTTTAAAGGAATATAAAAATTCAATACAAACATTATGATACCTTAAGAAAACAGTTCAATATAAATCTTTAATAATATGATACAATAAGACATTGATGCTTTAAATCAAAATTTTGGCATGCCCCTTCCAACAAATCAGCATGACTAATTTACTAATGGATGGGGGCTGCTAGGTACAAAATATCAAAAAACCTCTGCTGCCTGATAAAAGGTAACTGGTTTTTGGCATTGTACATTGTATCATAGTGTTTTTGTAAAAATACAAATTTTTACAAAAATTAAAATTTAAGACAAATAACTTATATGATCAATCTTTTTTAGAATTGTGGAAACTAGAAATAAATATTACCCTACAACAAGAAGAAAGTAAGAAAAAAAAATTTTTGTTACAAAATTATGTAGGGAAGAAAGTGTTTGGTTTTCTAAAATTATGTGAAAAATATGTGTTTGTGTGTGGTAACACTTCCGTGCTAAACTATGGTCGGAGGATCGTGGCTGGTATGGAAAGTATGCAAAAACCCAAGCCAGTTTCTTGACCATAGTCAACTCTCCTAACAAAAAAATAAAATAAAATAAAAAGGTAGAATTTTGAGGGGGTGTTAGGAGCATTACCTAGGGGGGCATCAGGTGTGTGCTATCACTTCTTACTTCCATTCTTAAAGAGAGGACGCAAGAATTAATACACAGAGTGTAATACCTAGTGTCGAAAAAAGTATAGAAACATTCGTCTTTATTAAGAATCTGGTATGAGGGCCAGATTTTCCATGCAATGCAAAGAGTGGGTTAGAGTTTCCCCTCTCCTCATCTCCTGGGCGAAGGGAGCCATACACAACAAATTTTGAACAGGAAAACTCTGGGAAGAAGGAAAGGCAGGACAGGAAAGGAGCGAGACTGGGAAAAGATCAAGATCAGGAAAATAATTTGCCACAGTTAGGGTTTAGATCTAAATCAGGTATTAAAAGATCATAATCAAGAAAAAAATTTAATATGGAATTTTGAAAAATTAAAATTAATTTTGAACAGAGATAGAAATTCTATTTATTTCAGTTAATTTAAACTCATTTGCTGGACTAAAAGGTGTTAGTCTAGTTGAATGAACAATTTCTGATTTCTTTTTTGTTAGAGGATTAGGTTTATCAATTTCATAAGTCACTTCAGAATATTGTTTTAAAATTTTGTACGGTTCTGAAAATGGAGGAGAAAGTTAACGTGTATTAGGATATCGAAATTCTTCATACATTACTAAATCACTATTTTAAAATACTAGGTTTAAAATGGTATATCTTCTTTATTACGTATGATAATCATCAGATTTTTTGAGCTATTTTTCTAGTTTCTTCTATTGGGGATATAATTTTTGATTTTGAATGAGGAACGATAAGGTAATTTTCCATACATTAAGTATGATGGGAATTTTGTTACAGAATGAAGGGTGTTATTATATCTTCAGTTACTTGGATGAAATTTGTCCATGCATATTACTTGAAAAGAATTTAGTTTACATTTTAATCTAGTTATAATCGTTTTGATTAACATGCTCAATTTACCGTTAGTTTGGGGTCTATTTGCAGTAGTTAATAATTGTTTTACATTATGATTCCTTAAAAATTGCTTAAATTTTGAAGATGTAAAAGCAGCATTCCTATCACTTAACATTTTCCTTGGTACCTCAATTTGAAAAATTTGTCTTAAGAAATTTATATAAGTATCAGTAGATACACTTTTAGAAGCAAAAGTCCAAATATACCTGGTTGCATGATCAATAATTATTTGAATATATTTTAGTAGAATTATAATAATTTAAACCACCAACAGTATCAACAGACAATATTATTAGTATAGATAATTATGAATTGAAAATTTACTTTAGTCAAATAATTGAGCTTTTTTAGTGTTTTTAAGCAATTTAAAACTATTAATTTAAGTCAAACAACAAAAATCAGAGTTATATTTGCAAATTTTCACAGGACTGGTTTCGGTGGTTTTCCCAAACCATCATCGTCAGCTGCCAAAGTGCAAATGAACAAGATCAGATATAGTGATAAGAAAAGAATGGCTGGACAGGAGTTCAGTTACCAAAGTGCAAATGAATGAGGTAAAATATAGTGATAAGATAAGAATGGCTGGACAGGAGTTAAGCTACTGGTGCCATCTATTGATGAAACAAGAAAACCAAAACTAATTTCTTTAAAGGCTGAAGGTAAAGATGGATTGGAATTAGGGTCGTTAACTAGAACAGAAAGATTTTTTTTGAATGTGAAATGCCTCTAGAAAATCTAGTTCACCAATGAAAGATTTTTTTGAATAATTTTGGCTGAAGAAAAATGGAAAGTGTGATTTTCAAACCAACAATGCTGGACAGAGGACTTCTGTGTTTTGATTTTCCTAACATATATCTCATATTCTTGAACACTAAATTTTAAGGCTATCTTAGTTTGACCACTGTAAATTAAACCACACTGGCAAGGAATCCTGTAAATACCTCAGGAATTCATATCCGGAATGGTGTCCTTAATGGCG